AACACAGTCCGATTTTTATACTTCCATTTTGAACGTTAACTGGTTAAATGAATTTGTAGAGGGGTCTCATATGAGACTCTGTTCCCCATTGATTGAAATACTCTCTATTAAAGAATACAATCTTTCTGAGACAATTCACACAGCGAAAGTTTTATAGCATATTAGCATATTTTATCTCCTCCATTCACGAAAAACAACTTCAAAAGTTCCGCTTTGGTGTAATTGAATATAATGATGTTGAATATGCAACACTGATGATAGCATTGAAGTGGCCGGTATGTCAGCCAACATGGCATAGGGGTACCGCATGGTCACATTTGACTGATATACAGACTCACATAATCGTCATGTATTTTAAAATACTCAAAAAGCAAAAGATTGAAATTGCGACAAAATGTCATTTTTTTATTTGATACTTGATGTCATATTTACAGCAGGAATGGCCAGTAAGTTTGACACAAGAAGGACACAACCACTTCAGTTGATTCGATGATAATAGTATGACGCAATTACTGTACATGTAAATAACTCAGCGAAGATGAGAGCCAACCATGATTATGACAGGAACGTTATCAGAATAACACTCCTGACTCTGAGCTGATGGCCCATTAGACCTCAAAACTACTCCACTATCTGAAGTGCACACACCATAAAAATCTAAAACAACTGCATATTTTCTCCTTCTTTCTACAACAGATTTGATTTATATGCCAAACAGACTGAACTCGCATTTTGCTGATAGTTTGACCAGAGAAGAAAACTTCTTAGATAGCTACTATCTTCTTTAGGATAATCACTATACCATACAATTTTTTCAAAATATATTTTTTACCTGGATTCATTTCATTATTTGATCACTCCCTATTAAAGTCATCCTCTAAAGAAATGAGGCAATTGGGAATTGAGTTCATAAACTAATTGAAGAGGGGGTACCAACTCCCTCATAACCTCAAAACCTAAAGATATAAACACAAATATTCAAATGACTAATCCACCCATAATGAAACTAGCTTAAACAGACAGTAGCTGAAGTGACAGTGTGGTTAGGGGACTGGGAACTATCCCTAGGGGACTTGTGACCATTTGTTCCTGCAATTATGAAGGCTTATGAGAGATAAATTATACACAGTACCAGAAATAATTAACCTTATCGCTCATCTAGGATCTCTGAGGCAGATATTAGCTTAATTAACTTCCTTTGTTTTACTCTGGATCGTCTATACTGTACCTTCAATATGAAGTGACCAGTATGTGAGGTTGAAAGAAGGGGATTCAGTGGTGGTAAAGGAAGGTATATGAGGTGGTAAGAGAAGGGATATATGAGGTGGTTAAAGAAAGGATATATGAAGTGGTAAAAGAAAGGATATATGAGGTGATAAAAGAAGGGATATGAGGTGGTAAAGGAAGGTGTATATGAGGTGGTAAAAGAAGGGATATATGAGGTGGTAAAGGAAGGTGTATATGAGGTGGTAAAAGAAGGGATATATGAGGTGGTAAAATGAGAAATATGAGGTTCTAAGTGGATTCGTAGGTGGTAAAAGAAGGGGTATATGAGGTGGTATAAGAAAGGAAATATTAGGTGGTAAAAGAAGGGATATAGAGTTGGTAAATGGACATATGAGGTGGTAAAAGAAGGGATATATAAGGTGGTAAAAGAAGGGATATATGAGGTGGTAGAAGAAGGGATATATGAGGTGGTAGAAGAAGGGATATATGAGGTGGTAGAAAAAGGAATATATGAGGTGGTGAAAGAAAGGATATATGAGGTGGTTAAGAAGGGAAATATGAGGTTGTGAGAGTATATGAGGTTGCTGGGAGCAAAGAGGGTAGAGACTGCTATTGGTAGTAGAAGAAAGAAAAGTTGAAAGCACAATAAAAAAGAAATGAAGTTTGGGGATGTGATATTTTTATTATTTGTTTTATTTCCATTCATTGAGATCTGATATCATAGAGTATGACCTTAAACTAGATAGTTCATAAAAAGTATATAGCAATTTAATTAATTTTTGATGATGACTTCTCCATTGGTGTCCTGGAGTAAACAAAAGATGAAGAAATGTGCATACTGGAATGTTACTCATAACCTTACATTAACCTTTACATCATAATATAACACAGAATAAATGTGTATAGGAAACAATTATGAGATCATTTTCTAACTGTATTGGACATTGTCACGTGTGCTTGCCACCAGTGACCCTCAAGGGTACCAATGGCATGGTCCATCAACCAGTGCCCATCACGCTTCCATCAACCCAACACACGTCGGAACAATACACAACAGTGGCTACCTGGCGTGAGATCTTTCCTCCCACCATGTGCTCTTGCTGATCCTTAAATCAATCGCAATACTACAAACAGAACAATAGGTTAAAGATTAATTCTTTAATTGTTTCATAGTTTCACTAAATTCCCATTACAAAATCAGTGATATTACAGAAATTGTAGAATAAGAATAGAAAGTTGGAGGGAGGTATTAGAGAATGGATTTAAGACCACATGATTTAGATAATGCTGACATCCAGGGGTGATAATTTAGATAGATTTAATAATTATTTTATTTTAATCAATTTCTAGAAGATTGGAAATCTGTGTGATTTAACCACACTCCTGTGGGGTGAATTATTCAATATTGGTCACTTTGTAATTTATATGTGAACTCATTCAGATCTCCCCTCGGAACTTTGCCACAAACAATATTATGAATGAGGATTTAAAACATCTTGTATGATGCATCAATGCCTTCGGATATTTTACATAATTCTGATATATGTTTCATCACAATGTGCCCAATTAAGCCATCACAGTATTACAGATTAAGCCATCAAATTTACTATTTAAGTCAGTTGCCGTTGTCAGATTTAGATGGCTAAATAAGACAGGTTGAGTAATTTAGTGTCAAATGCTACAAATAGTTTTCTACCTTAATGGTCAAACTGACATTGTAATATAATTGCTAAATTATTGATATTGCCGATGTTTACTTGACTCGTATAAATCACACGTTCTTATGCTGAGCATTATGGGAAATTCTCAACATTAAATTCATTAAAGTCACCGCTATTTTACATCAAAATGCGATATTATGACTATTAACATCTTGGGCTCATTGAGATATGATGATTCTATTGTTGAAACATTACCCATAATCCTCCCTTGACCAATAACAGATCATCGATTTGTCGTTAATGTTTCAATAGCCGTCGCTTTTGCAATGAGCTGGTGACATTTCTTTGACACGATTCTAACATTATTAGGGCCATCTATCAAGTTGTGACAGGAGCTACTGTGCCATGGAATAGCATGCCATTAGATTGCTATAATCGCCATTTTGGGGGCAGTCGTCACATTTTCTTCACGCTATCTATTGACTCAAGTTCGGTCCCTGAAGATTGTGGTATCTAAATAAATGCAAATGATACAGAGTATATATGGCTAGATAAACTCACTGATATTTCTCATGATGCCATTCCAAGTGAAATACTCACTGCACTTGCAGGTTTCTTAGTGTTCTGTTGATATTTGCACCTCTATTTTTTTTCTCGCAATTTCAGTACTTGTTAGCAAATATGTTGAATTATCAACTAGATTGGGGCTAGAGGGCATTATATTTAAGGTGGGACCTGGGTCACAGTAGATGAACTGGTTAATCTATCACAGCTGACAGTTGTTCCAGTAGGACTGACAAACCCCCTCTTATAGCTCTTACTTCTACGCTTCATTGAATCGCATCTTTGCCAACAGAACTGATTTAGAAAAATAGCACAGAATAGCAGAATTTGGACTAGGTTTCTCAAAATTAGAATTACATCTCTATCGGTTTAGGGTTAAGGTTGTCACGGAAGGGTTAATATTATATTTTTAAATATTCCAAAATCTGTATTGTTATTATGGTGTGCATGTTCACTCAGTTACTTGTTCTGCTACGATGCTTTCTCTTTGTGCACACAATTACATTTGCTTAATTATGGACTCTTTATAGCACTAAGCACCGAGTATTGTACTCTAGGCTCATTAATCATTTTTGTCATATATTTTGACAGCCCTTAAGTGCCCGAGTTAACTTTGGTCTCGCAGATGAAATTCCAAATTCACTATTGCGGAGATGCGATGGCTCTCTCATGGCCCATATGTGTAACTCTAATATTTCTGATTATCATTCGGTTAGTTTTCTGATGGGTTTATTAGGCATCCCTCTGGGCCCCCACGTGGCTGTTGGAATAACAAACCATCGTCAAATTGTTATTTCTCCAGTTAGACTACATTCTCTAGTGACTCGTTTCCTGCACACATTTTATTAAGTAAGTTGGTTTATAGAGGAATTATGCAGATTGAAAGAATAAAGAACTAAATGATTTGAGAAATTCTATTGTCATATTCTCCCATTCTAATTTGGTCTTATCATGAAGTTGTTTGTCATTACTATGCACATATGAGGTTATATTTTTGCACAAAGGGCACTATTTTAGAAGATGTGATATACAAGCTGTTATTGATTGAGGAAACAGACAAAACAAATGGTAAACAATCGGACTAATAATTGTCTTTCTAACCATCCGTCCATGAAAAACTACCCATGCGCCACTGCTAATTTACTTATTTAAAAATCTATTATCAATTTCATATTCAATTTTCAATTAAAATCTAATTTATCATTTTTGACAGATACTTCGTCTGTTGTTGCATATCTATGTACTTTCGCTTTAGTAGGTAATATATTTGTAGTTCTAAAATTCATATCTTGTTTAAACAATGTAATATTAATATGTGATTTAAACAGTGTAATATCGTATTATTTTACACACATTTTGACATTGGCCTACAATGTTAGATTATTGTTTACTCAATTAAATTGTGTTATTGTTTACTTCAATTATGATATTGTTTACCCAAATTGTAATGGTCTAACTAAAAATAAACCATGATCTTGTTTACGTGAATTGTGATATTTTTCGTTTAAAATGTGTCATTTTGTAACCCAATTGTCTTTATATTTCCAGGTATGGGAATGGGTGATATGTACGGAGGAAGCCCCTCAAGTACATCCTATTCGCAAATGTCACAGATTCGTCCGCCCGTGCACTCTCAAGCCATGCTCATTCCCGGCCATCCTCACCATATGATGATGGCACATGGCGGCCCGATGCACGGCATGCATGGACTACAGGCGCAGAGTCCGCCATTACACGCAGGAATGGACGGCATGAGCCATATACAGGATATACATGCAGGATAAGATTACCAACTAGGCTAGTAGTATCGATGTATATGTATAATATAATACACAAGTCAGGTGGTCAGGACCAGCCACCATCTTGCTGTCCCATAATGCATTGCATATGACACAGACGGCTGTGAATCGGATCAACTGGCATTGAAGTATCTCTACCTGATTTTTTAATGACAAAGAATGAAATTCTTTTTACATGAGAGGGTGCCACGTCTGCTTGATTTTACTAGTAGTTGGGACACAATGTAAATAGATATGAATATATGGATATTTTGTATCGAGATACTACTGAGAGTAGAAACTTTAAACGGAATATTATAGACCCAACCAGGAGGCTCACTCCCATTGTGCTTAGCAAACAGAAGACATGATGTCCTACAATGCATTGCTGCTGCAGCAGATGGAGCTGGGGATCTGCCTGGTTGAAAACAGAGGCCATCTTTGTAGAAATGCGAGCTAGTCAAAAAACTATGATGACATCATAGAGCCACAACTTTACAAGCTAGAGGGGACCAGTAAACAACACTGCAATCCACCATATAGAAAACCTGGGGCCCTCACATCAAACAACAATTCCTCGATGAGTGTTGAAACACAATTGATATTTGATGTGATGGCTCCAATTAAAATCCCTGCCTGAATTATTCTTAATATGATTTGCAGACAATGTGAAATCAGTATTAGTGTGATAATACATAGATATTGCAATATTTTGCAACCTATTGTCTTGAATTGAATAGCTTGTACCAATTGAAATGTATGTGAAAATCTAAGTAAATGAGAATTTATTACAGCATTCGGTTTTAGAAAGTACCACTAGGTGGCATACTAGTACAGTAACTTGTATTAAAATCTTGTGTATTTCACAAAAATGTTTAGATCTAGTAAGCTGTACATTTTTGCTTCTAAAAATAAATATGACCTCTTTTTAGCTAAATTATCAGCTAAATAATAGTCATGCATGTTGGATGCACAATTTAGAACTAAAACTGTCCAGAATGATTGTTTAAGAGTTTGAAAAACCTACATTTCATTTCATCAAAAACCATTGAAATTTCATATTCATCTTAAGTTCTTGAACAATCATGTTGGATAGCTTTGGTCCATTTTTGTCATCAGAAGATTTCAATGGTGCTAGAGACTAATCGAGTGTATTGCTTTTTATTAATAGGGTAAAATATAATGCATCTCTCTGTGACTCAGATTGTATAGATTAGTTTTCTTGTGATTTTACACAATTTTCAAATGAAATGTAGAGTATATAGAACTTGATTTTTCATATTCGCAATTGATTTGCCAAATTTTAGTTGTTATGCAGTTTGGGTCATAGAAAAATGTGTGAGTTATTGCAATGAAATAGTTTACGACCTTTCCACAAATACATTGAAATACATGCTTTCATCTGATGTTCAATTACTATTTAGAAAAAATACGTGCAAACAAGTTGATTGTTTTAATAAAACATATTTTTTGTGTGCAAATTGATTTTCTTTCAAAAACTTTGAATTTTGGACTTGCATCATTATTACTTGCATTTTCCTTTATAATTTTCATATATCAGTAAATTCAGATTATTTTGTTCATTACAATGGAGAGCATATGTTTCAATGTATAGGTTCTTGGGAAGTTAAATGGCATCTTACTATGAAGTCATGCAACGGACAAAGGTTGGACACAGCATTGTGAAAGTGTAGATATTACATTGTAACTATATTGTATACTGCATATTACATTGTAGCTATATTGTATACTGTATATTACATTGTAGCTATATTGTATACTGTATATTACATTGTAGCTATATTGTATACTGTCCAACATTATTTCTTATAAACTTGGAACCCCCACCTAAAACTTTGGTAACTGAGTTATGAATAGCAATACAAAGTACCATAGGTATAAAATACTTACAAACATTGTTACATTTTGTTGTTTTAAATGATTCCTAAAGGGTACATTACCACTAGTAAAGTTATTGTACTTTGACTATGACATCATGGTTTCCATGGTTATGATTGATTTAGGAATTTTGTAACTAAGAATGCCCTGTCAAGTATTCCTGATGTTATATAAACACCTACAAATAGAATTTTGTAAATTTTACGATTTAACACCAGGGTTTTTGGGGAGGGGGTTCAACTTTGTATGATGCCAACTTGTAAATGGAGGTGTAATATATGTGGTATAAAAGATAACACTGTACAGATAATGTATTAAAGTGATAATTGTTGTAGATAGGTCCTGTTAGGAGGGTGGAATAGGTCCACACTAATATTGATCCCTGCGCGTACAGCATGTAAATATAGCTCCATTGGACCAGTCACCCATGTATAAATTATTACAGATAACAGTCAGGGTGACTCTGTGTGTAATGGAAGTGTATGTATTGTATAGTATTCTATCTTCTTATGTCTAGAAGCAAATATCTGCAGAAAGATCTTTATATTTCCCTCAAACTTTTATGGGGTGGTTCATGGGTTTTATGTGGCATCTAATGCAGACGACACTCTTGTGTCAAGGTTTTTATAAAACCTACAGATTTTTCTGACCTTTTAAGTTTTCCTTAACTTAAGTTTTTCCTAAACTCAGAGTGTAAAATGGCCTCACAGTTGTTTAAGCATACAATGCATAATTTCACCACTTCAAGATGTGATTTTATTTTTTACATTGTACTCATAAAACGAATACCATTTGATGTATTTTAAACTATTTTCCATATTTGTTTTATAGTTAACGATTTGTATTTTTGTTGTTTTGATTATGTCTGCATTTATATATGATCATTAGGAGTTGTTATTTTATAGTAGAACCTTCAAACTATGATTGTTATGATTAAAACAAATAAGCATTAATTAAGGAAATTTAATTTGTATTTATTTATGTTGTTTCACAGTCACAGTTCAAACTTAGCTATCAACCTTTCACCTTATATGGGATAAATGGGCTATTTCTTAACCATATTTGGCAATAGTGACCATATATGGTGATGCTTTATATATAGAATGTGCTAGAAAGCACAGGTAATATATGTATTATGTAAATGGAACCTGATGTATGAGAAAAAATAAAAAATCACTTGTTGCAAACAAAATCAACTTGAACTTATGTTATTTATGAATAAGAGGTACCCCGGTAGTACTGTTACATCAATACAGTCTAATGTGAAGTGAGAATCTTTCTCTATGGCCAGTGAAGACCATTTCTCAGAAGATACTCTGTTAACTTTTATTATAATTAGTATTAAAACTCTCTTTCGATAACATCTACCAGAAGTGAACATTTTTGAGAAACTTCATTTAAAAAACTGCAAATCCTCAAACGAGTGCTATGACCATGATTTACCAGACCTTCTGAACTACTGTTTTACTTCCACGCACTTTGACAAACAATCTTCATATTATTAAAATATCAATGACCAGGTACAGTAAAACCTGTCTAATCTGAACAGCTCTGAGACTGGCCAAAAGTGTTTGGTTTAGTAGGTGTTCACATTTCCAGGTTTTATAAACATGTGAGTCAGTGGGATATAACAAATTTGAGACCGAGAAAAAATGTTCACATTGAGACTTGAGAGGTGTTCAGATTAGAGAGGTGTACATATATACAGGTTTCACTAGACTCTGCATGTAGATCATGTGTATCCTTAGCCCCATCTCATTTTTGATATGTCTCACTTCATTTATCAGAAATATGAAATGTTAATTTTAAAATTAGCTTATTTTTGACTACATTCCAAACCTCCAAATTAAAAATTCATGTCCTTTTTTCAAAAAGGTGTCAGTTTGACAATAACCTCAGAAATGCATGAATAAATATTGGGAGTTTCCCATTAAATCCATGTTTGACATTGCATGGGATCATTTTCTAGAGAGAATAGTCATGATGGATCTCTTCATTGATACAGCAAAAATAAAATAACATTGACATGAGAAAGACCTATGACAGATATGTTGAATAAATGTGTCAATAAGGTCAATTGTTTCAGCTTCAAATGATCATCATCACACAGTGAGTCTCTACAAGCCAGCAGATACTAGATAAAGTTATCAATAATCTCAAAGATGATGGGTCAGCTAATTGTATCATAAATGTAAATTGTTTGTAAATAAACTGGAGATAATTCAGACGAAGATGACATCTCAGAGATGCTGAACCTAAATGCATGAGCCTGATTCGACTCTTCTTCAGCTTGTGATAAGACCATCCATAATATTCTTGACACATGCTCTTTCCATCCGCCAAACACAGGGCTACAGAACTCGTACCTCCTTCTTAAGAAGGAACTTAGTGGATGATGTCTGGCCCTGCATTTGTTGGATGTGCTCTTTCTCTCAAGCAAGCAATTCCTGATACTCTATTCTGTTGTAATACTAATCTACATGTACCCCTTTAATTACCATTTTGAAATATGAATCTAATTAAAGAGGCAACAAAACCTAGAGATGGGTTAAAAGCATCTTTATTTTAAAACTTTCACAGCTTTCCAATGCTTTTTGCGCATATGTCCCATGTCTGCCTATCTTCTTTTATTTTTTCAAAGTCCTTAAAATGCTTGTTGCGACACAGAAAATAGCCTAGCCTGGTGCTGCCATCTTATTAACTTTACAGAGTTGAATAAACTGACAGACCAAATTGTGGATCACACTTTTAGCAACTATACTTTATATTTTTTCATGCATGTGCACTGTTTTTCTACAACATATATATAACAAATTATGACTTCTTGGCTTTTTGCCCCCTCAGTCTAATGTAATAACCCTGATAATAACTTGTGAAAAATGGCATATACATGTAGATGTTTGACAATTAAGGCCCCATAGAGGTATAAGTAATGACACCTATAATGGATGGTAATAGTACATAGATTCAGGGGAGTCAGAGAAGTTATTTTGTGCAATATGAGCATTTTTAAGGACTACAAAAAGTTATTTTCTGATAAAAACAGCATTTGTATAAGTTTCACAGTTTCACAATTTCACAATATAATTAATGATAACCATCAAGTTGAACCAGACACATATAAAACACATATGTCTCTGGTTGAACTGAGTAAACACAGTGATTGCATAATAACATGTTTTCACTGGAAATGACAAGAGAGCTGTTTTGGAAAAATATTGACAATTAGAGTATTTCCCAATATTTTTGTATTATCTAGAATATTGTTTTTAAGATGAAGCCAAGTACTTGAACATTCTCCCTTAGCATGGGTGTAGCGCTATTTTTATTAGTAGTATGCCACCAAGGGAATACAAGTTGAGCAAAGCAAAAAATGATCGTTCAGGGGGTCTGGGGAGAAAATTTTGAAGTTTAGTTGTATTTGGAGTGTATTTGCAACCATCTGGTACGCCTGTGCGCACTAGCCGCTACGCCTATGTTAAGGCCATCATGGCATACCATCATGGCATAGTAATTCTCTCTTCTTTAATCACAGCCTCTATGACAATTATAAGAAGAGAGATGCAATAGGTAATAGAATTAATAAGGACCATTGTCTGAAGTTGCCAACTCCTTCAATGTCAACTCAGGTCTAAAAATAACTGATAAGAATTGTTGAAATATATTTTATCTTTGATAAAGATTAGAAAACAATAGATATGCAATTGAGAAAGATATTAATTATCAATACATTTGTAACAACAGTCAAATATTATAACACTCATTTTTTGCAGTGAGCATCATTTGCCATTCCACAGGAAACAATGAAATTACATATAATTTAGCAGGGGTTTCATTAGCAGCAGGCAACAGGTGATTTTCACCGGTTGTTTTCAAAAAATCGCCTGTTGTTTTTAGGGACTTTCAACTTTTCCATGTATGATTTCCATTAATTTTGCCTGTTGTTTCCATTTATTAGTGGATGTCTATGAAAGAACATTCCTATGCTGTTTATTGCAAATTGAATTTTCATATGAATTCTGATCTTTTAAACAGGTGAACATTATTTCATTTCTCATAAATTTTTATTACCCATTTCATAAACATTTATTTACATCCCTGTATAATATTCAATACTGAATGCAATTAAGGATTTAAGCACATAGTTATATGATTTGTGGGTGTTAAATGCACTTGTGTTCTGATTGGCCAAAAATGATAATGCATGCCCAGTTATGTGTCAACAATTAAAGTTCAAGGACTTTAAGTTCCTGACCTGAATGTCTTTGTACAGATAAATACAAATCAATCATAATGACTAGCACTCTATGATAAAAAAGTATCATCATTTTAAAAATTACACTGTATTTCGGTTTTGAGTATGTATTGCATGTAAAATCATGTCCAAACTGCAACCTTAGTAAAGAAAGGAGTATTAACTTTTACTGCCTTTACGAGTATATCTGTCTCTGTATGCAGTTAATAGTCCTGGAGTCAACCATCTACAGATTACATATATGACTTGTCTATGAACAACCATCTGTATAATACTATATTTTTGGTGAAACATGTAGATCCGATACCTCGCTAATGTGAACACTTCTCAATCTGATCACTTTTTCTCATAGACTCAAAGTACTGTTCTACTTCGCCTTAATTTTCAGTGAAACTGGAACCATTGGTCCGTCTATGATATCATTACTATGTAAAGTGATCAACATACGCTGAACTTTGGCTTCATAACTCCACTTTAAGCCTGGGGTTAGGGTAACGTTAAAGCCAATGGGATAGTGCAGGGTTGGCACATACAACTCTGTGGGTGCATTGATAGTAGGATCATGCATATACTCAAATGTGTAGTCCCCAGTAAGGAAATCAAATTTTTGAAAGGTTGGAGTGCCTGCGATGGCCTGGGCATATGTTCGTGAGAACAACTTCACAACATTATAATCTACAGTCCCATTTGGCCAGAAGAACTGGGAATCCCAATAAGTCCATGACTGTAAGTTTTTATCTGCATGATCCAATACAGTAGACATCTCTTCAGTGCTTGTATGATTGGCGCTGCTATCTGGAGTATCCTGGCCAAATTCTGTAAGGAATCCACCACCTCCAGTATCATTAATAGATTCCTTGATCACCTGGAACATTTGTTCAAGGAGGACTTCATCACACACGAGTTGTTTCCAGTGGGGATACGGCTTGTGGTCATCACCGGGGGAGAGAATTTGGCAGTAGTAATGATACGACAATGCGGAACGATCCTTGTAAGTGTACCCTCCGGGAACATGACCAAATCCGGTTCCAAAACCCTCTGTATGTAAGTATATGGCCCATGTGACTGGCTCATACATAATTATGGTATTTTCGTCCACTTTACGAATACCGTCAGCTAACCAGTCCCACATAGGGAGAAGGTTTTTGAAACCTGCACGACCTGGAGAATAGAATATATCATAAAACAATTTACTGACATGATTAAGAATAAAAAAGATTATTTACAATATAAAATTTTAAGTTGCAATCTGTTAATCATATCAGAATTCAATATATAGATGTGACTTATCAACTAAGATTGAATCAGGAATTAAAAGGGTAACACCTAACCTAAGTTCTTTTCACTGAGTTTTTTAAAATATTAAACATGTCTTGATTTTCTTAATCACACAAGAATCTCCAAAATACCCCTGTTTGAAAAAAATATGGATAATCATTACATGTACAATGAAAACTCAATACATATACTGCTCAATGGAACAAGCCAAATGAGTTCAAGTAAACATTTCATCAATACCAACGAGAAAATACAAAGAATATTTGAATAACACAATACAAACTGCTATGAACAGGGTTTACAACTGCTGAATACAATAAAAAATATTTAATGTAAACATACAATAAGTTGTGACCAATAAAATATATCTACCTGGTAGGATTAATGTAGGGTCTTCATATATGTCTCCCGCCCATGGTTCATTCATCAACTCATATGCTAGAACACTATCCTTATTCATGTATTGTCTCGCTACAGTCTTCCAAAAATCAGTATAATAATTCAAAGCCCCATTGGTGTTGTTATAAAGGCAACCGAAAGCTGAACTGACAGCCTCTGTAAGATACCCCTCCGCCCATTGAGAGATACTAGGAAGAGGCCATGGGTAGCTGTGTTTTGGCTCGGGAAACATGTCAATCAACCATAAAGGAACACCATCGTATGCTTTGTACTTTGACGTGAGGACATCTTGATGCATGTCTAGAATACTGTACATGCCATGGTTGCCTAGTTTGTCAATGATTTCCCCGAGAGTGTTCATATAGGTCTGGTTTACTTGATCTTTTGCAGGGTAGGCTCCTGCCCACATTGTACCAAGCCGAACAGCGTTAAAGCCCCAATCTTCATACAATTTCAACCTGGTTTCATTCAGCAACGAAGCAGGGTACCAAGGGAATCCTTTCTCAACTTTATTAAATCCATGGAACATTCTCACCCGTCCCTGAGGATCCACGAAATGTCCATCTGGCCTGACCTTAATTTTTGGTGTCCGAGATTGAAAAGGTTGTGACGGCCAACAACTAACGCAAACATTTACCCAAAGCAGGGAAAATGTAAGTACAATCCATGTCGATGCCATTGCTTTATCTTTCATAATTCCAATATACCACAGACCCCTATATAATGTTTACAAGTTTGTTTACAAAACTTTCACACTTACTTCAAAGGTCAGCTGATATAGAATGCCTTACATACAACACCGATGTTAATATATGAAGTTAATAGTAATCACATTTAATCCAATGGTTTATTACTACATGTATTAATAGTTTCATTTAAGTACACCCTGTAGAATTAATACAGTCAGCATAACCGACAAGCATTCAACCTACTTCCTCCTTTTCAAATGACATCTGAATATCAGGCAAAAATATCTCTTGTTATTTGTATTATGTACATGTTTTTTCATGTCCTCATTATGGGTCTTGTGGCTTCCTCTGTACTAAATTTCAAAAACAGTTCAAGAACAATTTAGTTTTTATAGAACAGCTAGAGGGGAAATACTACCAATTTACATGGAATGAATGTACTGGTAAATGTTTTTGTCTTTGTAGAATGAAATGCAAGAAAGACAGAACTGTAAAGCCTGTAAAGAAATATTTGAAAAATGGGACAGAAATTTTATTTAAGAGTGCATGTATTTCAATTTATCAGTGGTACTCATACTGTACCTTATCTTGTTCAAACTAGAAAACAGCGATGCCACACAAAAGCAAATCTGAACAAACAAAAATATAATTCTCTAAATCAAATTGCCTTTTTTGACATAACAAACCACCAAAAGATGTTCACAATATATGACCTAAAGGTACAATTAAATGATATATAATATTTGCAATGTACAGTATATATATTAAATACATGTACATTTTTTTGAATATATAATGAAGCCATACTTTGAGAAGATTAATGTGTATTTAGTTAGCTATTTTAAATTTTCTGAGGCAGAATTCAGAAAGATCACAGATAGACTACCAGGCCCATAGCCAGGATTTGCCAAGGGGGAGGGGTCTGTTTTAAAAAATTTCCAGGGAGGTTCACATTTGACAATTTTGGCCCAAATATGGCTAAAATCACTTGAGAAGTGCTCAAAATGATGAAAAACTGCATGGGATTTTGAAAGAATTTTGGCCGGGGGGGGGGGGGGGGGGGGGGGGGGTTTGCCCGAAGCCTGCGAAACCCCCCCCCCTGGCTACGGGCCTGACTACTACTGTATTCTAAACATTCCTTTCATTTGAGAAAATAAAGCAATATTTTGAAGGATTTATCATAATTAATCTGAATTCTTGTTTTTAAGCAGGCATTTTAGATTGTCTGAGGTAAAAATCAGTATCAGGGGACCAGCCAGAAACTAAAAATATGTGTTATATTGTTATATTTTAAGAAATGCTTTCAAATTCTGTTAAGTTATGGACTGAAACTCGAAAAATTCCCTCCATTTCTTCAGCAGTAGCATTTTGAGAAAAATAATTTTTTGTTCAACTATTCACTATTATGCACCTTTCCCCTGAACATTAGGAAAATTCAGATTGATGGACTGACTGACAGACAGACAGAAGGAAGGCTTCACTATGTATCTACCAAACTTCATTCATTGGGATAGTAAGACTAAGTGGTCATGAACTGTCATCTTACCTATCAATATCATACTATTGTTTCCTTTTTTAAAAGATCATGTGATGCATTCAAGTCACCATATCAGCATATCATTTTGTTGGGTTAGTTATCTCCTGTTCAACAACATCTCCAATAAAAACAATAGACTCAAGGGCTAATATATTGCATTGTCGAATCTAAATACAGGGTGACCCAAAAAGGCCACAATCTAATTTTTACGTTTTAAAATTTAAAACAGGGACCCAAAAATGCCGCATTCTAATTTTGAAACTTTTATAGAATCTAAATACATGGTGGCCCAAAAAATGCCACCTTCTAATTTTTGAACTTTTAGAATTTAATACAGGAACCTAAAAATGCCACATTCTAATTTTGGAACTTTTAGAATCTAAATACAGGGTGGTCCCCCAAAATGCCACCTTCTAATTTTGGAACTTTTAGAATCTAAATACAGGGACCCAAAAATGCCACATTCTAATTTTGGAACTTTTAGAATCTAAATACAGGGTGGTCCCCCAAAATGCCACCTTCTAATTTTGGAACTTTTAGAATTTAATACAGCAACCTAAAAATAACACATTCTAATTTTGGAGATTTTAGAATCTAAATACAGGGTGGTCCCCCCAAATGCAACCTTCTAATTTTGGAACTTTTAGAATCTAAATAAAGGGTGACCCCTTTCTCAATTTTGGTAGATTCTTCTTAAATTGTCTTGTGAAGATTGTTCAAAAGAGCAGACATGTAGTTATTAGATTGCATCTATGACTTTCTGTAAGGCATATACAACAACTTTTATTACCATAGCCTAGGTCATATGTGTATTCATTCAATCTGATAATAAAGAAAAGCATAACTACATTAATTTGAACTAGATAACGGCAACTCCGCGGAGTAGCAAGTCCCAACGAACAAAATATCAATTACCGAATTCCAATCAATTATACTCATTACTTTGGTTAAAATTGAAAAATTTAGATTTTAGAATCGCGAATTCCTGCAAAGCAGCCATTTTGAATTTTCTGAGGTACAAATCTGAAAAACAAGAACACAAATGTGTACAAAATGTCCCCACCAAGTGGTGATCCCGTGAAATGGTTATCCTGAAAATGAGTAGACAAGACTTTACCAACACAATTTGAGGACGGAAAATCCAAAGTGGCCACCTTAAAATTTACCCAGAATGCCAAAAATTTAGTCAGTTCTAGATTTTCATACTAAGAACCACCCCTGAAAATTTGAAATTGATCCGTCACACAGTTAACCAGAAAACATGTAAACAAGACTTTACAGACAAGATTTCAGGATGGAAAATCCAAAATGGCTGCCTTGACATTTACCCAGAATGTCAAAAAACTAATCTGTTTGTAGATTTTCATACTAAGAATCATCCCTGAAAATATGAAATTGATCTACCAAACGGTTCACCTGAAAACGGGTAGACAAGACTTTACAGACAAGATTTTAGGACAGAAAATCCAAAATGGCTGCCTTAACATTTACGCAGAATGCAAAAAAAGTAATCAGATGTAGATTTTCATACAAAGAGTCATCCCTGAAAATTTGAAATTGATCTATCAAACCGTTCTCCTAAAAACGTGTAGACAAGACTTTACAGGCAAGATTTTAAGACGGAAAATCCAAAATGGCTGCCTTGACATTTACCCAGAATGCAAAAAAACTAATCAGTTCTAGATTTTCATACTAAGAATCATTCCTGAAAATTTGAAATTGATCTACGAAACGGTTCACCTGAAAACGAGTAGACAAGACTTTACAGACAAGATTTTAGGACGGAAAATCCAAAATGGCTGCCTTGACATTTACCCAGAATGCCAAAAAACTAATGAGATCTAGATTTTTATACTAAGAATCATCCCTGAAAATTTGAAATTGATCCACCAAACGGTTCACCTGAAAACGCGCAGACAAGACTTCATAGACAAGATTTTAGGACCGAAAAATCCAAAATGGCCGACAATAAAAAAGTCCTTATGAGTTTTTGCTGATTTCTTTTTACAAAATTATCACATATAACTACTGTTAACAATAAAGTAGGCTTTTACAGCAAAGTACATCTGAAATTATTTATAAAGCTACTAAATAGTTAAAGTATGAAAACTCAAAAACACCATTCAATATGATACAAAGTATTATCGCGCGCTAACTTTTCTTAAGACATTCAAAATGGCTGACATGACTGAGCTAGCAGGTCCAAAACCTAATCAGATCTAGAATGAAGTGAGTTGAACAAGATGTTAAAGTTTTAAAAGCAACTGTGAAGCAGTTTTTCTTAAAGTTTGCAGACAAGGATTTTAGCATTTGACTTCAAAATGGTCGACAGGAAGTAGGTATCGAGTTAATTTTTTTTCATCCACATCTGTATGCACTCATAAGTTATCCCTGAAAATTTGAAGGTGATATCTGTAGCGGTTTTGGAGAAAACTGCCGGACGTACGGACAGACAGACGGACAGACAGACGGACAGACGGACGCGCCTAGGCCGACAATATGGCCCCACACTATGTGGTGGGGACATAATAATACCATAATTGTGATCTACTCCAAAATTCCTTCAATTTGAGTATAATATAGCCATACTTTGAAGGGATCGAAAAATTATTGCGAAATCATACATTAGACGGCCATTTTGAATTTTACGAGGCTCGAATCAGAAAAAAGATACAATTTTTGCAATCTACTCTAAATTGCCTTTCATTTGAGTATAATAAAGCTATACTTCAGAAAGATCTAAAAATTAGCGAAAATTTCTGTTTTCCTGACTCCCCATACCAACCCCTGGGGGTCAGGATGAAAAACACAGAATATATGTGAAATAGATAGATGTTGCAAATATACTACCAAAATTTCAAACAATAATATTAATTACTTTGGTTTAGAATGAAAAATTTATGATTTTTGCGAAAAAGTCCCGTCATTTTTAAAGTGGAGGCCATCTTGAAAAAAAATTTCCACTAAATATGAAGAAAATCCATCAACTAGTATTTGAGTTATCTTCCGGACGGACGGACTGACTGACTGACGGACTGACAGACTGACGGACTGAAGGACGGAGGGCTTCACTATATCCCTACCGAACTTCGTTCGTTGGGATAATAAGGACCTTCTTGAATACAAGTTATAAAGATATAACTACACTGTTTATATGAAAAGGAGGTCCCCTTCCATGATTTAATCCATCAAGTGGTTTTCCAGGAATCGCGATGACAAGAAAGTGAGACACCATCCGCCGCCTGTAAAGCTGACGGCAATATTGTACCTTTTTAGGTATGATAAAAAAAACAGCCAAAAAACAATGACTTGAAATTCAAAAGTATTTTTCACGCTAGGACTGATACAGTATCAAAAAGATAACACATTTCTCAACTATAACTGAAACAAAAATATTTTGTCACTAAGATTTACAGCAGAGGCTGGTCTAAATATTTGTTACCACTGTACAAGTCTAAAATATATTCCAAGTTCAAACAGAAGTGAGATATATTATGCACATTAATTTATGATTTATTTTGCACACACAAATGTACATCTAGGAAATGTGTAAATGTAAATCTAAAACTCTATATATTTCTAATGAGAATTCTTAATTCTTCACAATAGTCAATATAAAGCAGAAGTTCCTATAAGTAAACAAAATGTTGACTTCCAAATTGTGCGTTTGTTGACATGATCTTTATGCATACATATTTAGGTACATTACATGTACATGTATTATGACAATTCCTCTCGAGTCTACCATGGGGTTTCGAAATACAATACAGTAAAACCTGTCTAAGTCGAACGACTTTGGTACCTCTAAAAAGTGTTCCACTTGGGACGTTCATTTAACATCAAGTCTGTCTTTGGACTCTGAAAAGTGTTCCACTAACAAAGATGTTCCACTTTACAGCTTTCACTGTACTTGACACTTCCCTTGGTACAATGGTACATGACATACACTGTATAGGCATAATTAATTGATTCGAACGTCACATGGCACAAGTCCATTAAAATATATACTACTTGGTAGCTTATGTGCTATAATTTGGCAATATTCTAGAAGCTGGGTTCAAGATGCAAGAGTGTTCGTCTTAATCTTATAGCTGGCCCATGATATTATCTGCTAGACTGCAGGTAAGTCCTGTATTATCTGGCTCTTGATTCACAGCTTTCACTTCACCATCTTCTATCACCATAGAGTATCTGGAAAATAACATAATGTCTATATTATAACCCTTGGATAATAGTTGAATGATTATATTGAACCACAGACTACATATCACAATAAAGTATCTGAAAATAACATAAAATTTCGATATTATAGCCCTGGGATTAAAGTTGAATGATTATATTGAATCACAGACGATATATCACCATAGAGTATCTGAAAAATAACATAATGTTTATTTCATAGCCCTGGGCTTATAGTTCAGTGATAACGTATACCAGACTACATATAAGTCATGTATTTTTGAGCTTCTCTCATCATCTTTAATTGTATTGCATTCTATCATAACCTTGGAATAAGTCACAGTACTTTCTCCTGTTATATTTCAAAAATCCAGAAAAAAATCGATCAATTGATAATAAAAAGTTGGAGAAACCTTATATATTTATCCCGTTCCAGGACTATAGTCCTGTACGGAGCCCATACATTTGCCTGTACGATTACAACTTGGGAGAATTATCTACGCCCCTTCCACTTAAGAAACCTACCTCAATGCATTCTACAACTCAAAATGTAACTTCTAATATATTGGAACCGCCGATTGTCTGGGTTAGTTGGCAGAACGAGGTCTTTTTGTTTCTTAGGGCTCTTTTGGTCGAAGTTCGATTAAGATGGCGGTTATAACGGAATTTCCCGAACTCTTCCGTAATAGCACGAACTTGGTTTTTCGTTACTTCACTTCCATGTAAAATGGATTTGTTTCCGGTAAGAAACATTGTTTAACCATTCGGTATACAGTTAAGAGCATAGGATGTCGACATGGCAGTAAATATTGAAAATATTGTCCGAAATTTTCGAAATTCCCTCTTACCCGAAACAAATCCATTTTACACGGAAGTGACGTAACGAAAAACCAAGTTCGTGCTATTACGGAAGAGTTCGGGAAATTCCGTTATAACCGCCATCTTAATCGAACTTCGACCAAAAGAGCCATAAGAAACAAAAAGACCTCGTTCTGCCAACTAACCCAGACAATCGGCGGTTCCAATATATTAGAAGTTACATTTTGAGTTGTAGAATGCATTGAGGTAGGTTTCTTAAGTGGAAGGGGCGTAGATAATTCTCCCAAGTTGTAATCGTACAGGCAAATGTATTGGCTCCGTACAGGACTATAGTCCGGGAACAGGATAATTATATATAAGTTTTGTTTACTAGACCCTATTCATAATTTACCTCTTAGAGCGTACTCCACCTAGAGGGGGCAAGTCAATGTCCATTCCTATGGCCTTGGTAAACTCACCAGTTGCATCAGCCAGCATGCGAATCTGCAAAGCAATTTAGTATAGAATTAAATGTACATCTTTGCAAAATACATACATTTGCCATACATAGTAATTTTAATGTCACTTTCATATGCAGGCAAAGCCCCATACAATTTAAAATAAAATTTGTCCTAGATGATCATTCACGATGCATACTATGACAGGAGTAATATGCTATTTTGAGAAATGAAGACAACACTACACTACAGAGGCCTTTATATCACTGTATGTCCAAAGATAGCTTAACATTAGAGCAATTTCCCTATGATGCAGTAATCTTAGATTCCTAGTGAAAATATTTTGAAGCTTCCACAATTTGCTCAAAAAGCTTTGGTGTGTACTTGTATGTTTATTTATCAGGGCTCTTTCATGAAGGGGCTAGGTATGTTATACTATATGGTACAACATAGTAAGATTTACTTACTTTGCCATCTGCACCTTGTGCTTTACCCCAAGCATCCATTACGAAAGGATCATTGACTGATATACATGCTACCACTCCTGCTCCTTTACCCTGCAGTGCCTCATACTTCTCTATATAGCCAGGTAGATGAGTCTACAAACAGAAATATGAAACATGACAAAAGGATCATTGACTGCTATACATGCTACCACTCCTGCTCCTTTACCCTGCAGTGCCTCATACTTCTCTGAATAGCCAGGTAGATGAGTCTACAAACAGAAATATGAAACATGACAAAAGGATCATTGACTGCTATACATGCTACCACTCCTGCTCCTTTATCCTGCAGTGCCTCATACTTCTCTATATAGCCAGGTAGATGAGTCTACAAACAGAAATATGAAACATTACGAAAGGATCATTGACTGATATACATGCCACCACTCCTGCTCCTTTACCCTGCAGTGCCTCATACTTCTCTATATAGCCAGGTAGATGAGTCTACAAACAGAACTATGAAACATGACGAAAGGATCATTGACTGCTATAAATGCTACCACTCCTGCTCCTTTCCCCTGCAGTGCCTACTACTTCTCTATATAGCCAGGTAGGTGAGTCTACAAACAGAAGTATGAAACATGACAAAAGGATCATTGACTGCTATAAATGCTACCACTCCTGCTCCTTTCCCCTGCAGTGCCTACTACTTCTCTATATAGCCAGGTAGGTGAGTCTACAAACAGAAGTATGAAACATGACAAAAGGATCATTGACTGCATTACATGCTACAACTCCTGCTCCTTTACCCTGTAGTGCCTCATACTTCTCTATATAGCCAGGTAGATGAGTCTACAAACTGAAGTATGAAACATGACGAAAGGATCATTGACTGCTGTACATGCTACCACTCCTGCTCCTTTACCCTGCAGTGCCTACTACTTCTCTATATAGCCAGGTAGATGAGTCTACAAACAGAAATATGACACATGACTCATTTCTACTACATGTACCATGATTCCATAAAAAGCTGCCTCACCTTTGAGCAACCCGGTGTGAAGGCCCCTGGGACAGCAAAGAGGACTCCTTTCTTGCCAGCAAACAGCTCACTGAGGCTTACTTTATCTTTTGGTGTTCCCTCAAATACACTGATGTTTGGCAGCTTGTCTCCTACCTGGAATCACAAGAAACAGACTTTAAGGCTACATTTTTCAATACACATGATTGACCACAAATTGTTACACAATTTTTACCATAGTGCTAGTAGATCTGCTTTTTGATACTCATGGTTATAACACAAAGACATTCTATCATCATTCATAGTTGTTCTTAACAGCCTCATTTTGGGTTATGCTGTAGTGAGTTTGGAAACCACCATAATTGACTACTAATAAGACTCTTAGACTACCTATTCGTGGAGTAGTTTTACAGGGTTTATGTATTGCTCCGTTTTAAAGTGTTTATTGTACGGTATATATAAATAATTGCGACTCCCGTTGAATAAACTTCATCATAGCATAAGGAAATGAATTAGAATATAAAAATACAAATAATTGTTTGTTGTTCTTAATAAATCACACTTCAGTGAACGTGTTGTTTTGGTTTCGATCAATTGAACTCTATATTCATGAGCCTACGATGACGTCTACATAGGCACATTAGACTACATGAATATAGAGCTGGTTACATTCACTCCTGTAATTATGAATGAATAGTTGACGATGTTTAGGCCCCCATGTTGAGTTCACTCAGAATACATTTGAGTAGAGCTTATCACGCTCACTCCTGTAATTGTGAATAAATAGTTCACAATGTTTGGGCCCCTGATTGTGTTCACTCGGAATACGTTTGAAGTAGGCTAAAACCAATTTGAATTTGAATCGTGTCTCTATTCACCGTGACAGAGCTGCGATTCGCGAGCGATTATTACAACACCTGAGTGAACACGCCAAATAATACCTCACTTACATAAGGTCAGATTCACACTGTATCGGGACCTTGGCGATGGGAGTATTATGTGGATTAAATTTTTAACACAATACTAATCCCCGGCGCCCTTGTGATGAAACTGAGCTTATTTTGATCACACAAAAACTTCATGATCATGACAGAAATTTGAAAGTTCGCGTGGCTTGCGCAAATTATATATATATTGATATTATTATTATTATCATTTTTGTTTAAAACACTTCTTTTTACTTAATTTAGAAATAAGCTTGTTTTACAATATTTTGATTGATTGGTGCAATACGGGATGTACAATTAGATTATTCTTGTACATCAGAAATATATTGCACGTAGGCTTACTTCAGATCGCGCGTGCAATCTAGGTTCAAGGCCATTTGCTCTCTTTCCAAGGAGAATAAATAGAAAAAAATTCAGATGGGCATTTTTATACTTATTTATTCGTCCATTATAGTGAAGTCTTGGGGTTGTTACGCCTGTGGAGCATCTATATTGATTCAGGGGAGCACGTTTTATATAATTTCGATAGGAAAAGAAAATTGATATACAGTGCAATAAACTCTTTAAGCTGCTTAGATTGAAAGAAAAAAATGTAAGAATGTATGAAAATGTAATGTACCATTCAAGTTTGTGTGAGACCCCCACGCAGGCAGGGATGGGGTATTTGACAAAAAAAATTAATTGTATTACTACTTTTTTCATGGCCTGACTTCGTCGCTAACATGCTAAATATAAGAGTTAGCTGACGTTTGGGAGTCTGACTTACCTTCTAAAGGTTAGAACCCAAATCTTAATGAAACCATATCTTGGTCAAATCTCTACCCCTGGGAATATTGTGTATCAAATTCCTTACCCTCCCCGTGTGGGGGGGGGGGGTTCTCACGCAAACTTTTGAATGGTGCATAAGCTTGAATAACGCAGATGCGAGTAGGTAGTTACCAGATTCACCACCAGATGGCTCGTTCGGGTCAGATAACATGGCGGGTATAGTAGAAAGTTCCCTTTAACTTAAATTACATCTATTTGCGTGGTTCAATTTTCATATAACCCTTATGTATCTAAAAGTTATGCAAATTAAAATATGTCCAGTAAAAGAAAACGTTATTTGTCCAATACAAGATAAGATTAAATTCTTTTTTTGTGATTTGTAACATGGGGTCTATGGGGAATCAACCCGAACAAGAAGTCACATTTTCAAAAAAAAAAAATTTTCAAAGTTGATAGACAATTTTCGAAACCATATTTCTAGATGTACTTTTACATGCAGATTTCAAATATGACATCACTTTTGACTGAATTTTGAATATTTAATGACGAAAATCAAGATTATTTCTACTCGCATCTAGTCTATTGTTATTTCTTTTTTCATTAGACTATTAATTTTTCTGTGGGATTCGACTTTCAATTTTGGAGTCAACATTCAGTGAGACCCTATCTGTTGCAAGACTAACGCCTGGTGTAACCGTCACCATGTTATTCAGTGTTTTTAAGTAGCTCAAGGATCCTGCCATGACCGTGGTAATGTTATCGTGTAAGCCTGGTATAACCGTGACAGGCTGGTATAACCGTGACAATGCTGTATTATATTGCAAGGCCTGTCATGATCCACCCTCATACCTGGCCTTGCAATACTATATTACATTGTCACGGTCATACCGGGCTTTGCGATCCCATAATACATTGTCACGGTCATGCCAGGTCTTCAAATACACATTGTCACTGTCACTTATAGCAATCATAAATTTCTACATTACCACTCTCATACCCGAACTTGGAATACTATATCACATTGCCATGGCGGTCATACCAAGCCTTGCAATACTATATTACATTGTCACGGCCATGCCAGGCCTTGCAGTACTATATTACATTGCCACGGCAATGCCAAGCCTTGCAGAACTATATTACATTGTCTCGTTCATGGCAGGCATTGCAATATAATACAGCATTGTCGCGGTACCAGGCTTTCACGATAACATTACCACGGTCATGGCAGGATCCTTGTGCTACTTAAAAACACTGAATAACATGGAGACGGTTACGCCAGGCGTTAGTCTTGCAACAGATAGGGTCTCTGTAAGGGGTTTGTAGAAAAAACCGGGTACCGGGTACTAAATCCTCCATGCTGGGTTCAAGTTTGGTACCCGGTCGAATAAAGTACCCGGTCGAAAAAAACGGGTACCCCAAAAAATGGGTATACGTTTTTTTACAGTAGATTAGAACAGGTATAAAGCTTGTAATCCCTTTATTTACGTCATATTTGCTATTCACACCGGAATCATATTATTTTATTATATAATGTATTAATTATATTTTCATGAACTGTATGTTTAATAGGCAATACAACACACAAAGTGTTTTTAAACTCATTGTACAATTAATAATGTTCTAGCATCGAAAGAAAGTCTTAATTTAACTGATTAAAATGAGATACGGTCCAACGGACTCTGCATTACCATATGCCGTTGTCTTTGTAAATGATTTTCAAATCCCGATTCCGTTGTCTTTGACTATATCGAAGATGCTATGTTGTGGTAATCAAAGACCCAGTTTGATCGGCATTGGGATTTCCATCATAATAATAGCTTAATACATGCACAGAATTAGCAACGATAAAGTCCAATGAAATGATAAACCGAAGTGATTGAAGAGTTGAAGCAACGGTTCTGTCCGCTATTTGTGACAACGGTATCTGACTTTACCGTTGTCAGACTATTCATGTGCGCTATTGGAATGTCTCATGGTTACCAGAATGAAGGAATGAAAAATTAGTACCCTAAATGCATTCGTTCAACTTCACTCCTTAAAATAGAGCTTCGTCTTCAGTATATAACTAGACTATGCACGCAGGGTAAAAAATTATGTGTATTGTACTTTAAAACGAATACAACAGAGTGGCGATTTTATGGCCATTGCATCCTCTTGCAATAGATAGCATGTCACAGTCAGCACTATCAATGGTATATTCTAAAAGTGAATAGATCTCTAATAAATAGAGGAAAGTCCACAAGGCATTTGTGACAATATTTTCCGGAAGAGTTATATTTCCATTTATCGTTCAAACTGTGACATTTATGCTAATAATTCGACATGTATATGATTCTTACATATCCAATACGATAAAAAACGTTACTAACATACCAAATGAAAGGTGATTTCCTGGTAAAACTTGCAAAAGTTGGTCCAAATTCACACTCGAACCGTCCACTTCCTCCAATGGCGCATGCACAGCCCGATGTAAAAAATTAAACCTATCTGATTGGTTGTTGTTGTAAACAGTGTGAGTTTTAAAAATGGAGGTGTCACTACGGTAAATCATTGAAAAAAATCACAAAATTCAAGTTCTGGGCTACATATCGCGATTTTTGAACGAACTGGCCCATACAATGACTATATCCATAACCTTCATCTTTACACTATATTTAACATAGGGTTTGCATCTCGATTTTTAAATATCACTACGCCAACATAGGGACTCATTTTTAGGTGGCTTCGTTTTTAAAGTATTAAAAACACGTCCTACCCGGAAGTGGTATTTACCGTAATAACACCTTAATATCCAAAAATGGCAAAATTTTACATAATTTTTGCTCATTCAGCATTTTTTCAAACAATTGAGTTATTTCAGGCTCAAAACAGCTGCATTTCAAACTTTTAACACGTTTTCTACAAAATCTAGCCATATTTGGGGAAATAGGTGAAGGCTGAGTCTCTAAAAACGGGCCAAAATGACCTAAAATTGGGTCATCAACTTCAGGGATCTCATTCAAAAATTTTGGAAGCAAATTCCCCGAGATTATTTCATTTTGTAAATCATTATAGCAATGCATTTCAAGTATTACACAGAATGTACTGAAATGTAGGTTACTAAATGCTAATATTTTGAGTCAAATGTGGTCCCCATGTGCAAAATTGGCCCTTTTCTCCCCCTTTACGCCAGTTAGGCCCCAGTGTATTGTGACATCATACTCATGCCATTGCTACAATGTAGCAATTTACAAATTAATCATGATTACTCCTCCTGTGGTAGTTGAACACTGTTTTTGCATCACAATATTCCCCAGTGTGTTGACTGATTACACGTCAGCTTACTTAGTTACTTACTAAGTACGCAATAACCACCGTCAAAGACCTGCCGGCACCTATTTTTTGGGCTGGTGATGGAATATTACAAGGGCAATACGAGAAGAATTCAATTTTTCAGAATTTCATAATAATTATAGGAGATCTTACGGTAGTTTGAACAAGAATACTGTTATTTCCAGCAGAAATATGGTAGATTTTCAAATATTTACGGTATATTTTACGGCCGTTCTTATAGAAAAAATCGAATGATAATAAAATATTTTACGGTAGATTTTGGTAAAGTTACAGCAGATTTTTTACGGTCGTTTTTACAGGAAAAAACTGTAATTTTTTATGGTATTTAGATTTTTTAACGGAAAAACGAATATTTTTTGGTTGATTCCCGTAAAAATACGGTAGGTTGGCTGGTATGAGTTACCATGGCAACCGTGGAAATGGGTAAAAAATGAAAGCAAAAAACACCCAGACCCGCCATAATGGCACTAATTTTCAAAATATTTCGAGACATACAATTTTTTTTCCACTTTGATATCGTCTAGAACACTTCGAGACAACAAAAATATCAAAAATTGTTGGAAGGTTTATCACTTACATTTTTTGCAAGCCTTGGTCAAAGTAAAACTACGAAAAAAGCACTCATTTTCACTTTAGAATCACCTATTATCGCCCAAATGGCTATATGTTGTCAAGGTCGCCATGTTAAAAGTAAAATTACGGAGCTAGATCTGCTCTTCAGACAATGTTTGATAGCTTTCCTTTACCATGGAACAAAGATCTTTGCACTGGCAACACTGGTATGCCCATTTCCATGAGATAATGCACGTGAAAGAGGAACAGTGTCTTTAAATGTCATCAAAACTTTTTCGCACTACTTTTGGTGTAATAATACCATCTGATTGATTGTTGGTGTAATGTGAGTCGGGATTCCCGGGATTTGGGCTTTAGGATACGATTTTACACTGAACGGAATGTATCGACGCAGTTGTGAAACAAAAATGGCGAACAGTTTTTGAACTTCTGTATTTATCTATAAAGGTAGAGTATACCATTGATAGTGCTGACTTTGTAGCATGTGCATTCAGTGAAAAACATACAAGTTAATGTCGACTTCTCGACTAGTTTTTCTACCACAATATTCGACTCGATTTTTATACATGTTCCTGGGCCTATGTCCTTGAGAATTAGATAGATTTAGAATTTTCAAAATTGTATGACATTTTGTCAACATTGAAAGAGGAAAGCTGAAAATAAAAGTAGAACTTTGAATGTCCTTGATGTATTCTAGGGCTCTAAATAGGGTTAAATATTGCGACAATATTATTGACAATATATCGTCATCGTGCATGAGTATACTTATAAACGCTAGCCTACCTTTAAAGACATATTTGCTGTGGAGGTAACGTACAGGTTGCGTGCAAATAGCAGGGTTCTTTGACTACGAGCAAACATGGTGAAGCACTTCCGGTATTGAGCAAGCTGCGCATGCGCACACCACTGAGCGGGCAGATTTAGATGTTCAAAACGGTAAGAATTTTATTTTTATCATTTCCGAAGTGTTATAGGTTAATGTGACCTATTTACTCAGTGAAACTTAAATATATATAGACCTGAATACAAGAGATACATTCAAATGTAAAATATTTTACTCCTAATGTTGTCATTCTTTTAGTTTTTCCGCCGATAGTTTATGATTTTTTTTCAAAAAGAAAAACAAACACTTGACTTGTCTTGAATTTGAATTGAAAGTGAAACATCAAACTTTCAAAGAACACGAAGGAAAACCCCAAGAGCTTAAATATGAGAGACATAATTAAATTTTAAATTATGTCTCTTGCTTACCACCTTCGTTTGTCGGAATTTTCAGCGTCTAAATTAGTTTCCGAATATCGCACATTGTTGTGATGTTTATCGATGTAAGCATAGATCTAACCAAACCCGTCTGGCCCAGTTATCTACTCCTGACGTCATAGATCTGGGCCAGACGAGGTCCAATGCAAAAAAAGGAGGATTTATTATTCATTCCCTATTAGCCATCCAACCAAAACATCGGGCTCCAGACTTTACTTGAAATAAAGAGTATATAACTTACACGTAAATGTGGTGTAGTACTGAACGAAATTATTAGCCGTCATCCAGCGATGGAAACTTAATATAAATACAAAGTTTGAAACAAGGAACAAACACGTGAATGTTTTTTATGATGTTTATTCATTTATCAGCACATATTATACAATGAAAAACCAGTGTGTTTTTTCCAGAGTAGATCCCTCTTTTTTGCATTGGACCTCGTCTGACCCTGATCTACGACGTCGGGAGTAGATAACTGGGCCAGACGGGTTTGGTTAGCATAGATCTAGATCCATTCCTTACATCTTTCTCTCTCTTGATGTAAAATAGCAAGCTTTGGTATTGGTTAACGACGAAAATGAACATATTGTTATTCAGACTGATCTAAAAAAAATTGTGAAACCACTTGTGAATGACGTCATGTCAATGTAGGTCTTCTCTGAATCCTGGGGTATTCCCCCTCTTCTTTTTAGGCTAGCCTAATTTCCTCAATTCACTTCAAGGATCAACTCGATCCCAGTTCTTAATTATTTTACCAATTAACCTAACCTTTTTTCCATGGGCTGTCTCTAAGTTTAACCATATTTTATTTATTGTTTGTAAATTGAGTGGCAGACCCATCGATATACCAGTCTAAATACAAAATCTCAATTGTGACATCTCCTATTTCAATTCAATTACCATTGCACAACTAGATCTATTTTAGACAAAATTATATTAATAACTGAGGATTCCTCTTTACTCACTTTAATTTATCATAGCTTTCAGATGCAAGATATTCATCATGTGCAACCCCTTTTCTAGAGTCCATAGCAAACCAAATGTTCTCCATGCCAAGTTTGTTGGCTTGACATAACTTAAAACGTATTATCCAAATTTGGAATTCCAAAAATGATTGTTCTGCATTGATGTATCCTGGCCATGAGAAAGTGCATGATAAACAATAATCTAGAAGTACATGCATAACAAAATAAATCTCCAATAATATATATATCACAAACAGCATTTTAATTTACTTTTAGATATAAGCCAGCAAGTACAACAAATCAGCCTGAAATACAAACCACCATGGCTTCTCATGAAGGAGAAACTCTCAGGTGAGAAATGAGATAGTGTTTCTATGTTACTTAATTTGAATATCCTTACAACCTGGCCTTACAAATTACATGCACACAAGTACATGTCATTTTTGCTGGGTTTACTGGATCATGACCATGGATTTCTCATTTTTTGCCAGCTTTCGACATCATACTACATGCATATTCTACAAAAGCCCCTAAATGTGATGCTCAATTAAGTGAAATTAGTCTGCAGAGATCATTTCTACACAGTTTTTGTGTAAGGTGGATGCAAATTGTTAAAATTTGAGAAATTTGTAGTGAAATACTTTGTGACAGATTATCTTGTCACTTTAAGTTTTAAAGTCACTTCTGAGGTGGCAAGAAATCTCATCATTCTGGGTAGTAAAGAGTGTAAAGAACTGTTCTACTAAATAATTACTTCTAGCTAGTAAATGAGTACTCTTTATTTGTGTTTCAGCCTTGGTGGGGGACGCAAGAGGAAATCAAATAATCGCAGATCTTCAGTAAGTATAAAAATGTGTAAAAAGTCCAGTTACTAATTAATAACTACATGTATCTGTAAGTGAAACACCTACCAACACTTATTTGAGGTACCTAAGTGTTTATCAATTCTAGATTTTTCTCAAAATGTCATACATGATTATTTGTTCTGTTAGTTTTGATAGGTATAATATATGAAAGATGAATAGTCAGAACATATGATGTTCAATATTTTGCAAAATAGGCCCCTTGATAATATTTTTAATTTTCTTTGTAGATTCTGAAGATGGGCAACAGGTCACCTTCTAGAGGGGCTCTGTATGACATAGACCCTAATGCTCCAGCGGTATGTTATCTTTTTTTTCTGTTACACAAAAGTAAAAATGTTTTTGGTTCTCTAATTTGAATGATGAAACTTTCACACAAGCGGTTTCATGTTATTGTACTTTAGTACCACATACAGGGTGATCCAGAAGTAACGTCAAAGATGTTGTAATTTCAAAAGTATTCATCAGATCTTCATGAAATTTGGTATACATGTACCCACAACATTTCTGAGTTACCATCTCAAAGATTGGAATTCAATCATTTCATTGGTTGAAATTATGGTTGCTATAGTAACCCGATATCGCGTAACCCGGGGCAAATTACTTAACGTGTAATGCGTAATCTCAAAATATCAACAAGATCTGAAATTGTTATATCCTCAACATTTTATTTCACAACAATATAAATCATACTATTGCACAGTTACTAATAATAGTTCATTCTACATAATTGCCACCATTTGCAACACATTTCTCATGTCTGGATACCCATTCCTTGAACACAGAATTAAATCCATTAGAACTCATTCCTTGTAGGGCTAGTACTACGGCATTTTTCAATTCCTCACAGGATTGAAAATTATTTCCACTAAGGTTTCTTTTTAGTTCCCCATACAAATAAAAGTCACTGGGGGCAAGATCAGGTGAATAAGGGGCATGTTCAAGTTGTTGAAATCCAAGTGTTTGGACTGTGTTGCTGGTCAGGATTGCAGTGTGCGTAGGGGCATTGTCCCAATGCAAGATAAACTGCTGCAGATGTCCGGGACGCTTTTTCCTCAGGGAACGTTGAAGATCACGCTTCAGAACCTGAAAAACAAATGTTTAATGGTTGTTAAACCAGTTGTTTCATTGATTGGATTTGGATTTGAATCATTGCCATGGAGTTATAATTATATTGACAGTGAACAACATTTAAATACTTTAATTTAAAAATAAAATTCACAGTATGATGTATTATTAGAACAAATGATATCTTACCTTTGCAATGTAAACGGCATTAATTCTCTGGCCAATGGGAACAAAATGGGTTAACACCATTCCTCTAATGTCAAAGAATGTCACAACCATTTGTTTCTTTTGTGGAATTCCTGGTACTATTTTAGGCTTGGTTGGTGGTCTCTGGGATGTAGAATGATAGCAATGATTCGTCACTCGTAATGATCTTGTTAAGAAAGTCATCTCCATCTCTCCGATATTTTGCAAGAAAGTCCCTTGAAGCCTTAACACGCCGGTCTTTCTGCTCCTGTGTCAAGTCATGCGGCACCCATTTAGCAGACACCTTCTTTAACAGACAGTTCTTTGTCAGTATCCGTTGCACAGTCCCATAGCTCAGATCGTGTTTTTCAGCCAATTCTCTGATAGAAATTTGCCTATTGTCCATAACATCAGCTTCAATTGCTTTGATGGTTTGATCATCGAATGACGACACTGGCCTGCCTCCTCGCTGCTTGTCTACCACTTCATCATATCCACTGGAATACTTGTTAAACCACCTGTAAATGTTTCTCTCAGCAATGGCAGCTTTACCATATGCCTTCTTTATCTGTCTTATAGTCTCTTTTACACCTTTCCCCAACTTTACACAGAACTTAATGTTTGTTCTTTGCTCTATTTTACTCTGACTTGGCGCCATCTTGAATTGGGTGGGTTAGTGTCCTTGGTCATGTTAGTATTTGTCATGGATGATGGAAGCAATTCAAAGAAATTGAAAGCTTTTTATGAATGCCTATTGTGACATCACAACTATTACATATTTGTTACCATGGCAACAAATATAAAAATCATAGAAAACAAACAATGAACATTTTCAAATGTTACTGACTTTTTAAATTAGAGAAATTCACAAAAACGTTATGGTTTCTCTTCAATTTGCCCCGGGTTACGCGATATCGGGTTACTATAGCAACCATAATTTCAACCAATGAAATGATTGAATTCCAATCTTTGAGATGGTAACTCAGAAATGTTGTGGGTACATGTATACCAAATTTCATGAAGATCTGATTAATACTTTTGAAATTACAATGTCTTTGACGTTACTTCTGGATCACCCTGTATATCTACCCATATTTTATAATCAGTACAAAACACAAAGAAAAATAAAACTGAAATTTGATCTTTGGTGTGAATTTTATATTGTTTCCATATCAGTTACATTTTTAGAGCATAATTACCATTACTTATGGGGCACCCTGTATTTGATTTTTTGTATCTTTTTACAGCAGGGTGATGGAACCAAGGAGAAGAAAACAAGGATGTCTCGTAGGGTCAGCTTTGCTGAAACAAACCAAGTCAAGTAAGTTGAATTGAAAAAAGAACATCCAAGTCTGTTTTTGTTAAATATTCTGATTTGCAGTTGATCATGACTCAGATCTATGAAATTTTTAAACATAAATGTTCTAACAGTCCCATTTACTGGCATGCTTCATCAGACTTCTCTTTTCTCCTGCTTTTGGCAATTAAAATGAAGGAAATATGAAGAGGAGTTACCCCAAGCAGATGTGATCAGAATTTACTTGAAGACCACATTTTGTTGTCAGAAATATCAGAATAAGAGCTCCATTCACTAGTGTTAAAGGTATAACACAATGTTGTGCTTTATTATAGGGAGTTTGTTAAAGATGCCTCCTGGCACCTGAACCACTCAAATGATCCAGGTAGGGACTTGATTTTTTACTATAACTAAATATCAGTGGGTCTGTGTCTAAATAAAATGACAGTGACTAGTGGTAGCATTTAGTTGCTCTGTTACTTATCATGATATTGAAGGTGATGAAAACACAATGAAATCCTGTTTCGATACTTATTGTGTATCTCAACAGTTTTAATGTCACCACCACAAGTGATGACATATTGTCTTGGTCTCTAACATTTGTGGATGGTGTTAGATGGTTGATGTGTCTGTAACAAATGACAGGTGGTGGCACTTTGTGTTAATGGTTTGTTGATCAGTTGCATGAAATCCTGTACATATTATTTTCATATTTGTCAAAGTAATGTAATGATTTGTATTGGAGGTCTTTGTCTTATTCGTGAAGTTTTTTTAATCATACTGTAATAGATAATTTATTTAGGCCCCTATAGGTCACTCATCTGTTTATCAGGATTTGACATAGCAAAATGGCCAGTCTTCTAAAATGGCAGAAATACATGTACATGTCAAAATGAGACAAATAGCCTATAATATCCTAAATTCGCAAGAAAAGTTTTGACTATGTTCTTTGGGGAAAGACCCAATATGCAGTGTTAAGCAGAGTATTAATTTGTAATGACCAGTCAGTGTTCTCCAAAGGAGTTTTCTCAAGTCAGTGCAAAATTCTCATTTTCACTCTTGACCAAAATTGATCAAAATATGCACATTTTCATGATTTTTCTCATTTTCAAGTGTGTGCAAATGGATTTTCAGGTGGGTGCATTGCTCTCACTTGCTTTAATGCTGGGGAGGTCACTGACCTTATTCACAGAATATGTCATAATTTTTTGTTTTCCTCACTGCAGATCACCAACCTACAACAGCCCAGCAAGACAATGCTGAGAACAAAGGAGAGGTTAACCCCCCTAAGATATCAGGCCTAGACTCCCTCCTTACAGGACACATACAACACAGTGGGCCAGTTAATACTGAGGGAGAACCAGTAAGTTTTTTGCTTTCATCTCTTCATGTATGCTCTCATCAATTTGAGGCAAATTCCATTTTAACTATTCAGTATTAGGAAAAGTCTATTCTAAATCAAATATTTGTGATTTTAACTTTTCAGTTGAAAAATATCCATAAATAATCAAATATTTTCCGATTCTAATAGAATATTTTCCAATTTGTAATTTATTGAATTTTTTGCAAGCTATTGTTATATAATTTTCCTATTCTTAATTTATTATAAGTATTTATATATATTCAGGAGCATAGGGAGCCATCACCCGTAGATTTCCAAAATGTCACTCACAACGAATCTGTCCAAATGGATATGACCAGTTGCTATGGAAACATATCAACCAATCAGGATGAAGATGCTGACAATGACCATATGAGTGCCTTGCCAAAATTGGATGCATCTTCTTTTTTGAAAAAACTAGCTGTATCTTCCTCTAAGTAATTGATTTTCGTATCATTTGTTGTTAATCATTTTTACTAAAGAATAGTTGGACCATTTGATCAGTTTCATCAAACATATGAATAACTTTATGCTCCATAAGGGGGCACATATGGATCATGTACTTTTTAAATGTCTGTTGTAACTGTGCAATTGTATGATTTTCAATGAGATCCTCCTAAAACTAACTCACATTTAGCAAGAAGAATACTCCATGTTTTGATTTATGATTCTCTTGAACTTTTAGACTTTAATTTTATGAACTGAACTTCACTTTCTTACTTAGAAAAATTAAACCCAGTCAAATAATAATCAGTATTAATTTTTGCCTTTTAGCATCGAAGAAAATCGAGAGCATGAATCATCTGATTCTCAGAAGAGTGATATGAATTATCAAAGTGGAGCAGACTTCATGAGTGACCAAAAAGAACTCATGAGCAACCACACACAGATTTTTGGCACAGGTGGGGATATGGAAATGACCTCCACACATAGAGATCTGATCTCTCAATGGCACAATCAGGAGACTTGTGTGTCTAATCCATCCGCCTCTGAATCTAAACTTGATTCCAAAAGTTTGTTATCAAAATTGACTGATAGACAAAATACTGCACCAGTCCTGGATTCTAAAAACTTGTTATCAAAATTGACTGATTCCCAACCATCAAAACCAGTTCTGGACTCAAAAAGTCTGCTTTCAAAATTAACAGGTAAAAGTTCACACCCCACTTCAAAATTGACAGACAGTCAAACAACAACGCCAGTTCTGGACTCAAAAAGTTTGCTCTCTAAATTGACAGACAGTCAAGGTCCAAAACCAGTCCTGGACTCCAAAAGCCTTCTTTCAAAATTAACTGGTGAAAGTTTAAAGCCTTCTTCAAAATTGACAAACAGTCAAACTTCAAAGCCAGTTCTGGACTCAAAAAGTCTCCTTTCAAAATTGACAGGTGAAAGTTCACATCCCACCTCAGACCAGGAGAAAACACAGATTTTTTCTCAAGATGAAACGAATCAAATGGATTTCACAGCATGCCATGGTGGTCTTCAACATGAAACAGAAAAACCAATCAGAAAGGTGAACAGTGGAGATATCCTCGAGAAACTGAAAACCACACAATCTGCTAAGCCTAACACTACCCAGATTTTTAATGAAGAAGATACAAATCAAATGGAATTCACAACTTGTCAAGGTGGACTGATGGATACAACTGTAGGTCCCCCTTCAGCTCAAATTGATTCTGGGACCTTTCTTAACAATCTCATGAAGTCCACCAATAACTCTACCTTCCAAACCAAAATCAATCTAGGCGAGGTCCAGAAAACAAGATCGAGTTCTAGCGATAATGATATGGAGATGACTGCTTGTCAAAATGATTTCATTGGTAAAGTTTCTCAGAATGATTCGCAGAAGACACAACTTTTTGAAAATGGTCCAATGATGGACTTTACTTGTGTTGGGAGTATAACTCAGACCACTCTGAATGTTCCAGATATAACAACAGATAATGTGTTTGATGATACTGCCCAAATGGACTTCACAGTTCCAATCTCACAGGCTATATCTGTGAAACCCAACCAAGATCAGACCATTCATGTTAATCCTGAGCCAGACAATGTTGTTTCTGAATCACAACCTGAAGAAATACCCAATCAAGTCACAGCTGTTGATGCTGTATCTCCACAGCCTGTGCTTGAATCCAGCCTCAATGAATCTATGGATGATAATGTAATAAGCTTCAAGCAGGGTAGCTTTAGTAGTGAAGATCAAACGCTACCTGTCTCCCAAGCCATCCATGTAGGTAACATAGACCCCATTGACCACACCATTCAATTTAAAGCTCCACCTGCTGAAGTTGCCACCAATGCACCAGATGAACCAACCCTAACTGAGGAAAAATTAGGACCTGTCCAAAAACTGCTGGCTAAGGCGAAGAAAAGACGCTCATCGATTGCATGTAATTTTGATAACGATCATACAGAAGCAATGGATTTCACAACGTGTGTAGGAGGTATAGCTGTAAATGACCCAAACAAGGAGTTGAATCCTGTTGAACGCTTGAAAAAGACATTAAATAGAGCGAGAGCTTCCTTAGGAGGAAAAACTGATACCATGGACTTTACCACCTGTGTTGGGGGTATAGATACTGCTAAAAAGTCAAGGTTCGATGCAACTAAATTATTTACCGAAGATGACCAAATGGAGTTTACTGCATGTGTTGGTGACCTTCTCAACAGTAAGCCAACTGAATCAAATGTTAAAGGATGGCAAGCTACCAAGCCTAACACTACTGCTATACCAGATACTCCTGATAAGACAGCCATATTTGATAAATCAGCACTAGGAGGAGACATGGAGATGACTGAGGCTATTCCTGCATTCATAAAAACAACAAGTGAACTCACTGAGGCTGATAAGGATAAACCAACAGCTCTGAATACCATGGATGACACTCCAACAGAACTACCTGACAAAACAACAATTTTTAACAGAACCTCAGATGGTGGATTTGACATGGACTTCACCCAAGCTATAACAGGGAACATTCAAGTTGACCTCCAGATACCCAAGTCTAAAGCCAGAAACAGGAGACTAAACAGAACTTCTGTTGGAGGTATGGACATGGAAATGACTCAGGCCTTTACTGGAAACATCCAGACAGATGATAAAACACAGATATTTGACAGGACAACTGTTGGTGGATTCGATATGGAAATGACCCAAGCTGTCACTGGAAACATCCAGACAGATCTAGAGATTCCCAAGAAAATTGATAAAACCTCGGAATTTGAGAAAACTAGTGTAGATGACTTTGATATGGATATCACCAAACCAACAGAGAAGCATGAGGCAAATGATGAATGTAATGGTTTAGACAAAACTTCTTTAGGAGGGTTTGATATGGAAATGACCCAAGCTGTTACTGCAAACATACAATCACATGGAGTGAAACCAACAACTAACACAACACACACAAATGATAAGACACAGATATTTGATAGGACAACTGTTGGTGGATTTGATATGGAAATGACCCAAGCTGTTACTGCAAACATACAATCACATGGAGTGAAACCAACAACTAACACAACACACACAAATGATAAGACACAGATATTTGATAGGACAAATGTTGGTGGATTTGATATGGAAATGACCCAAGCATTCACTGGGAAAATTCAAACTTCCTTGGAGACACCTACAGGAACCTCTCCAGAAAAACTAGAAAATCACAACAAGACTAGTGGTGGTCTTGACATGGAAATGACTGAAGCTATTCCTCTTAATATCAATGCTCATATAGAAGCAAATAACACTCACATTGGAGGAAGTGAAGCCCACATTGAAGCAAGTAATGCCCATATTGAAGCTAATAACACCTACATTAAAGGAAGTACTGGCCATACTGAAGCAAACAACACCTACATTAAAGGAAGTAATGCCCATATTGAAGCAAACAACACCTATGTTAAAGGAAGTAATGCCCATGTTGAAGCAAACAATACCCATGTTGAAGCAAACAATACCCATATTGAACAATCACTTATGGGCAAACCAACTGAAAATACAAGCTCCAAATCAGTAGAGCATCGGGACACAACTTTCTCTGTGAATACACCTGGAGTCTCAGTATTAAAACACAGTAGTATCACCTCAGATCATACTGATAGCTCCATAGCCATGTCTGTTCAAGACTATGCTGAAGATGCCTTCAAGTCTCTGCATGAAATCAACACTGCTGGTTCCATCAAATCTGCTGAGCCTGCCACAGTACTTGAGGACTCTGTCTTGGCAAATAATGACGCACTACCTGACTATGCAGAGGATGCTTTTAAGAGTTTAGATGTTGTGAAACCAATGACAGCTGTTGATGCTGCAACTGTTGATGGTAAGTAATATGAGTCTGATCTATGTAATCGTGTACATGGTTGAACATAGAGAGCATTGCTGATATGATTTCAAGGAAATAATATAATTGTAAAATGTTGTGCATTACTGAACATTGTGAGTTCTGAAGTCCTTAGTCTTAATTCCTAAATCTGTTGACCTAAATTAAACTACCTGTTATGCCTATAGGCTATTGGTAGCAGACACTCTCTGAACTCTTGACTTCTAAATTCCAAAACTTTTGAACACACTGATTTTCGGCAGTCAGCATCTGTAACAAATGGCAAATGGCAAGTGGTGACATTTTGCATGTTAATGCCTTGTTCATTTTACTCTAAGATGTTTGGTCCATGATTTCACAATTACTGATCTTCCTAATTCAAATGGAAATTTACTTATAATAAACAGGAGCTCCCGCAATGAACAGATCACGCCATCTGAGCAGCACGTTCCATGTCTCATCATGTGTTTCTGGTATATTAGATGAAAAGATGCCAGAGTTTGATCATAGCATTACCAACAGTGGCAACCTAGACACACATCATCTTCTCATGGCTGAAGCTCCTGGTGAACTCTCCAAGTAAGTATCAAGTCATTGGTAATGGTTATCAATAATCTTAAGACGATGATATTATCATTTACAGTGGATATTGATATATCTTCATGATTTCCCAGTGAACATTGAGCAATCAGATAAAAATGAAAATTTTGAAATTATCATTTTGCAGAATTAATAAAAAAGTAGAAATCATTGTATATCACTTTTGATATATAGAGGATATCCTATGATTTATGAGTGATAATTGTTTTTTATCCACGAATGGATATGATATCTGCACGAGCCAGCGTAGCGAGAGAGTGCAGATATCAATATCCATGAGTGGATTAAAATCATATCACGCATAAATCATAGGATATGAAATTAAGTGATTTAATTCGAATTTTCCAAACAATCCGGCGATGTTGACACTTAGCCTCGTTTTGAGTCTGAAGTAGCAAAAATCCATAAACCATTGCATACGGCGCTGTATGTCATGGCTAAAAAACTGTATGCTATGGTTAAGTGAAAATTTGTCAAAAATATCATATTTTACAACGGATTACAAAAAATACCGTTTTTATTTTCACATGTTATCCTATGAATATCATGCTAACTATGGAATAATATCGGATATCACTTTTTAAGGAGTGATATTTGATGGCTTGGGGATTTTTTGCTAAAAGGACGATTCTCGGTTTGGAGAACAGTCTCCTGGGCTAATAATTTTTTTCATGAAAAATATAGAAATATTACCCATATTAAATTATGAATATTCAAAAGAAGACATTTAAATCTACAAGATGTAAAAATAACAACTTGGTCTGAAGCAGGGATAACGCTCAATTAGACCGATTCAATAAAATACAAGTCTCGATTTGAGGAAAGAAGTTCATCAGTGTGCTGCGCTAATATTTTTTTGGCGAAAAATCTAGAAATATTACCCAAATTAAATTATGACTATTCAAAAGAAGACACTCAAATCTATGTTATGTAAAAAAATCAAATTTGTCCGAAGCAGGGATAATGCTCATTTAGATTGATGAACTTCGTTCTCCAAACCGAGAATCGTCCTTTGATATCTTATCCTCTCGTGATATTTGTGCAATCATGGAATAATACTTTTTGTATATAATATCAAGTATTTACAAATTTTTGTTCACATATTGCACAAAAGTTTTGTTCAACTTTGTGAGCTCATTGCCATTTGTAGGATCAGTTATCAGGTTATGCAGAAGATTCTGTGAATGAATTGAATCACTCTGTTACTCTTTCTTGAAATGTTATTTTTATTTTTAGGTCAAGGATTGACACCCAGTATTTACTAAAACAGATTGGGGAAGACACAGATCATAATGTTTCAAATAAGTAAGTGGCATTCATATTATATTAAAGATCAAGTTTTTTTTGTTTTGGGTAATCTAATTTTATTTTTGTTTTATTACTAAAAATGCATCATTCGACATCATTTATTTAGTTGGTTAAGTGATTTCAATGTTTGACAATGTTTATTTCTGTGTATTACAAGGTTTAATGACGTCACTAAGACAATGTGACATCATAAAAATCGAATTTAACTTCCTCACATTTAGACTACTTAGTGTTTATATTTCAGTCTACTAGAAATTATCTACATCTATGTCTAATTTATTTTAGCTATGACTATTTAAAGTTGAACACGTATCAACAATTGTTTTGAAACTCTTTCCACAATGTTAATATTAACTAATCTTTTCATGAAATTATAATTGTAGGTCTAGACTAGACACCCAGTACTTGCTAAAGGAGGTCAATGACAGACTAAATGAAAAAGACAATTTGACAGATACGTCACTAAGAGGGGACCTGTCACAAAGTGAGGACATTTTACACGGGGATATGTCAGTTAGGGACCTGTCAAATAAAGCTGATGTGTAAGTAACAGAGTAATATATTATGTCACCACCAAAAAGTGGTGACATATTCTTTATCTTTTATCACAATCTGAAAAAGTGCTTTATTGTCGTCATCTTGTGCTGATGGGTGGGTCTGCAGGTGGGCGCTACATGAATCAATTCTTGTCATAAAAATTCCAGAAAAACTGCTTACCTGTTCAACTTCAAAGTTTGATATTTATGACTGTGTTATGTCTTTACCACCACAAGTGGTGACATATTGTTATAGTCTCAAACTTTTTTGTGGATGGTGTTGGTGTTTGGCAGTTGGTGTATGGCTGTCAGCATTTGGTGGTCGGTGTCCAGGTGGTGACTTTTGCATGTTAATGTTTTGTTTGAAATTATTATTAAAAGCATTGTTGTGGCTGATATGGTATTATATTTTATTGTATTGTATTCTATTGTATCATATATTTAGAGACTGTAATTCTGATTCAGCTCTGAACCAGTTGGTGCTGTTACTATGACAACAGAAGATGCTCAAACAATAGAATCTACAGAGAATACTGGCTCCAAGGAGATTGGTTCCACCCATGATAAACTGGCACAGCTATCACCAACTGAGGCAGACAAAGTAGGTTATTTATCAACCCTTGTATAAGTACATTTATAGCAGGGTATTGAATTCACTCACCAGGTATTTTGAAAAATAATTTGAAAGTTTTGTTTGAAATCGAACATAAATTCTGTTGTAAGGAAATCTGAACAAAGGCTGATATTTGTTTTTGTTGTGAATCAAAGTTACGTGTTATTAGAGTTAGCCAAAAAGGTGAGAGAACACAAGAATGTTTGCACTAATTCCTAGAGACAAATAGACATTACAGCCTGGGTTGTTGTCATAAGTCCACTCAGTCAAAAACCCTGGATTTTTTAATATAATGCAACGAAGTAATATTGCCTATTTGCCCTATTAATCAACATGGTACATGCTATTCCACTGAGCTACACATGCAATGATGATACATTGTTACTTTCAGTCTGATAATGTGTTCAACATGGACATGAACCTTAGTGTGGAGGAGTTCCTGTCAACATTGAATGTGCAGCTAGATATCCCTGATCAGCAAGCCAGTAGATATAGTATCACACCTATACAAGTGAGTATAATGAAGGCCAGCAGCCCCAGCATGCATACTATATAGCATAACTGCACACTCATGTTATACAGATTGAACCTGTACTCAAAACATGTTGCATAATTTCAATTTTTTGCCTGCATAATTCTGGGAGGTCTGATACTAACTATCTACCCCTTTGAGTCTAAGTCAAATGTGTTAACTTAGAGTGAAAATGGCACAAAATAATTTTAACAATGCTTTAGTGTCTCATAAGCCCTCATCAGCTGGCGTCTTTTTGCAATTTGACTATTAAACAATTATGGTATTCTGTAAACCCTGTGACACTTAAATATTTTATTATGTCACCACCACAAGAGGTGACATGTTATAGTCTCCAACTTTTTTTGTGGACAGGATTTGGCAGTCAGTGTTTGGCATCTGTAACAAATGGCAGGTGGTGACATTTTGCATGTCAATGCCTTATTTTCATTTCATTTGAGATTTTATTACAAATAAATATAGTACATGTGTATTACAATTATGTATGGCATTAAAAAGGTCAAACATTGTACTATAATTGGTTCATATTTACTTCAACAGGGAGCTGTTCCAGAGACTATGTCAAATTGCCTAAATATAATGAGTTCAATTTTACTTCAACAGGGAGCTGTTCCAGAGACTATGTCAGATTGCCTAAATATAATGAGTTCAATTTTACTTCAACAGGGAGCTGTTCCAGAGACTATGTCAGATTGCCTAAATATAATGAGTTCAATTTTACTTCAACAGGGAGCTGTTCCAGAGACTATGTCAGATTGCCTAAATATAATGAGTTCAATTTTACTTCAACAGGGAGCTGTTCCAGAGACTATGTCAGATTGCCTAAATATAATTAGTTCAATTTTACCTCAACAGGGAGCTGTTCCAGAGACTATGTCAGATTGCCTAAATATAATGAGTTCAATTTTACTTCAACAGGGAGCTGTTCCAGAGACTATGTCAGATTGCCTAAATATAATGAGTTCATTTTTATTTCATCAGGGCCTAAATATAATGAGTTCATTTTACTTCAACAGGGAGCTGTTCCAGAGACTATGTCAGATTGCCTAAATATAATGAGTTCAATTTTACTTCAACAGGGAGCTGTTCCAGAGACTATGTCAGATTGCCTAAATATAATGAGTTCATTTTTATTTCATCAGGGAGCTGTTCCAGAGACTATGTCAGATTGCCTAAATATAATGTCTATAGTGAAGCCACAACAAGAGATCTATTCCACATACTGTAAAGAATTGGAAGAGAAGGCAAAACTGTAAGTGTGATTTACCTATAACATCACTAAATGTGGAATAAAAAGGATTATAACATACCTATGATGATGTATAGTGTAAACTGTTCACAAGACAGCGGGCCAATATAACTTTTAAAAAGCCCGTGCCCGCTAACTTTCTGATTGGTCAAGGGCTGGGACTACGTCATACATTAGGCCTAGGTCAAATTGACTCATACATTCGTAAGATATAAACATGGGAATAAATCATCATTTCCGAACCATTGCTAGTCAAGAAAACGGTACTCTCTGACCAGACTTGATCATCATAGGTATGTTATAAATCGTTTATGTCACTATAGTTGCACGTGACATATGCCCTGGGTTCTCAGTGATCAATGTCCCTCCCAAGGTCGGGCTATATATCACTGAAACCCTCGGGCATATATGCAACGATAGTGACATAACCTCTAATTATGCACTGGGATTAGATACAGGATTTATCCAGAGGGAAATGCAAATACTGTACTCACACTCATATTTGACAATATTATATTTTCGCACTATTGCAATTTTGAAATTTCGTGGATATTATATTTCGCTAATTTTCTTGAAATTTTGCGGCTACTAATTTTCGCGGTAGTTGAGTTCTCAAAATGTGTCTTGGTTCTTTTATTTAGGTTGGCGATTACTTTATGTATGTTTTTAGAGTTATAGTGGGTTTCCACGCTTTCCATTTCATTATCAGCCGTGATTACCCTTCATCTTGAGCAATTTTATGAGAATGTTCATTTAATGATGATCTTTAGAATCCGAATGTAAAAATACAGTAACCTCCCAACCTTTTATCGCCCAATACTGGACGAAGCTATCATCAACATTGAGTGAAATGAATTCTTAGGCATTTTGCGACTATTATATTTCGCGAATTAGAACTTTTTGAATTTTGCAGCTATTATATTTTGTGAATCTTCCAAAACTCGCGAAAAGCGCGAAATATAGTAGCACGCGAAAATTACTGGGAGTATAGTATTTCCTTAGGGAAAACTGACCCAACATAACAGATCCTATGATGGTCCTATATATGATCTCACTCTGTAGCATGGTTTTTGTATTTTCAGTATCCAGAATGCTAATGAGCAGATGGTTGCTGAGCTGTCAAAGTGTAACCCTCCAATGTTTGCACATGTTAAATCAGCCTCGACAGAACAGGTAAAATATAGCATTGATCTACTTGGAGGCATTGCGTATTATTTATTCAAGAAACAGAAAAATTGTAGATACCAATTACCCAGAGTTGGATTTATCGAATCGCAGTATTTGGATCTTAAAGGGAAATTTAATTCAAAAATACAGTTCATTAGTAGAGAAATTAGCAATAAAAAGTTAATATTGTTTCATTTCAGTTGCAGACATTGTCTGATAAGTTGACCAATCGTTTATCTTTGCTGAGGAAGATGGTGAGCAAGAAATTTAGAAATTGGAAGGTGTCTATGATCAATTCTATTGAAGACCACCTGGAAGATGAATACACAGAGCTTTCCACATGTGTGCTACAGGTCAGGGATATACAGAACAAAGTCACCAATGCAAGAAGCAGTTTAGATACAGGTATGTTTGTATTATGATTTTATATAATAAAAACACAGGATACACATGGAATCCTTGTGAAACCAATGTACTGTAATGTGGAATCTGTATATAAAGGCATGTGCATCCTCCTTAATGTATTTGTGTAGATCCAAATTCACATGGATCCATATTTTTCCATGTTGATTCAATGTGAATCTGATTGGGGTGCAGTGTAGGGTGCATTACAATACATATATATACATAATATGACATATGATTATATGTACAGTAAAATTCTCTGGTACTATTCTCTTTAGTGACCAACGGATGATTCCCTAATGAACAATGCTTCATTGACTTATGTATTAGAAAAATCTTAAATGAACACCTACAGTGAACGGTTTTATGGTTCCAAAGATGTTCACTAGATATAGGTTTTACTGTATGAAATGTATATCAGTGTTCTATATGAGGCAGGACTGCAACATTGTACAAGTTAGAAACATGTCAAATTCTTTACTTCAGAGAATATTTTTAATTTATTGAGACTTTCGACTAATATCCCTTAGTCTTTTTCAAAATATAACAGCATGTATACATTTATGTGACGTCATAAACAGACAATGGAAAAATTTAATTATGTAACAAATGACCTAGTAACCTAAAAAATAACAACAACAAAAAACATAGATACGAAAAAACGAATGACCTAATAATAACCTTAAGATAAATATATCATCGTTATGGTAACAATTAAACTCAAATATTACTATTGCATACTTTGCTATACCATTCTTAATTTACAATATTTTATGATACAAATTGTCCAACTGATACCCATTATCTCTGCTCATTTTAGGTTGCATTGTTTTAATATGAATTGCTTCCTTAACCCTACGTTTAAGATCATGACTCTCATTATCAATGATTTTTACATTGTTCCAGTTTATATTATGATCATATTCCATGGAATGTTCAATAACCGCAGAAGCAAGACCTCCAGTCGACAGTAATGTGGGTCTACGATGTTCTCTGATTCTAGTAACTAGTTCCCGCTTTGTTTCACCTACATAAGTGGCAATACAGTCTTTACAATCAATTTTGTAAATTACACCGGACTTATTTTGATCATTAGTTTTGTCCTTTAAATGCACCAACTGTTTCTTGATAGTATTCTGCAAAAAACTAAAAAGGACAAAAACTAATGATCAAAATAAGTCCGGTGTAATTTACAAAATTGATTGTAAAGACTGTATTGCCACTTATGTAGGTGAAACAAAGCGGGAACTAGTTACTAGAATCAGAGAACATCGTAGACCCACATTACTGTCGACTGGAGGTCTTGCTTCTGCGGAAAAAACTGAAACAATGTAAAAATCATTGATAATGAGAGTCATGATCTTAAACGTAGGGTTAAGGAAGCAATTCATATTAAAACAATGCAACCTAAAATGAACAGAGATAATGGGTATCAGTTGGACAATTTGTATCATAAAATATTGTAAATTAAGAATGGTATAGCAAAGTATGCAATAGTAATATTTGAGTTTAATTGTTACCATAACGATGATATATTTATCTTAAGGTTATTATTAGGTCATTCGTTTTTTCGTATCTATGTTTTTTGTTGTTGTTATTTTTTAGGTTACTAGGTCATTTGTTACATAATTAAATTTTTCCATTGTCTGTTTATGACGTCACATAAATGTATACATGCTGTTATATTTTGAAAAAGACTAAGGGATATTAGTCGAAAGTCTCAATAAATTAAAAATATTCTCTGAAGTAAAGAATTTGACTTGTTTCTGATATATTAACCAGAGAGATGAACTTACATAGAACTATTGTACAAGTTACTTTACTCAATTTTAATAAGCACCATCCACTTTTTGGAAATATCACCTTTATTTGATAGCAGCACCATTCCAAAATTTTAATCAACTTTTCTTGGCTTGAGTATTGTATAGACTATAGAGCATGAGGTTAATAATTGGGCTGAGGGACTCACTGTGGAGGAATGGCCATTTGGAACACAATGTATCTGTCCCTCAAACCCTAGATATTTTGTTCATTCTACAGGATGGAGATATAATCACACTTCAGCCTTTTTTATCCCACTTTGGGTGGATGAGTGAGCACCACATAAATCTTGTCATTAAAATTCCAGGAAATCTACTTATCCATTCAACTTGAAATCTTCACAAATGCAAGAGCAGACTAGTGTCAAGATCTAAGAAGGCTTCGGGCATGCTGGGTAAATTACATGGTGGCCATTTTGCTCTTCAATGTGTGATATCAATCACCAGATCACTGTATCTTGTTGCATTCTGGGTGCATCCTTCTGAACTTGGTGATAGTCGAAATATAGCCCCGCCATCACATGCGTTGTCTTCCCCAAGTCTTGTGTATGATGCACTTGTTGTATTAATAAACCCCTTGTTGTCCAACTGTTGCTCACGAGCCAATTGACCTGAAAATATATAGAAAATGTTTTGCTTATAAAGCCTTATATGCATGCTGCATTTCATGTTTGACTAAACATGCTGTGTTAAGGGCTCAATACAGTGCAACCTGTGCATTGTATTATTAATTAATGGTATACAATATTAAAAAAGATAACAACAGGCCCCTTATTCAATAAAGGTCATTCAACATTTTCTACTTGAATATTACTGTTTTAGATAAAACCCCTTAAGTTGCTTCTACTTCAATGTCATTGCTTTTGATATGCCCTAACAAAATGTTTCCATTTGGTTGCTTTATGAAGAGTGAATACCATTTATGAATACTGTTTATTGGATATATGCCATTTGATTTTACAAAGGTGTTTTACTGAGATTCCCCATTAAGATCCCATAGACCCCATGTTATAAAATCACAAAAATGATATATCTTTTCGTATATTGGACAGATAATATTTATTTTACTAGACATATTTTAATTTGTATAACTACTATCAAATACATAAGGGTAATATGAAAATTGAACCACTAAAACTGATGAACATTCAAGTTTAGTCACACTTTCTAATACCCTTCAATGTTATCTACCTCGAATTAGCCACCTGGTGGTTAAATAACTACCTACTCACACCTGGATAATATGCTACATATTTTCTGAACAGCATTTTGCACTGCTGTAGTGTAAGGACAAGTGATATCTGGCGAAAGAGTAACACATATTAGAGCAGTATCGCTGAAGATAGATTCAATAAATCAATAGCCGCAGATGCTCAATCAAAAAGAAGTTAGATGTTAACCAAGGACACATCATACATGCATAATCATTTATGATGATCTCTGCCACTTTTCTGTGAATCCAGCATTCGAGGGGTACAATGTCGTGGTTCCCCCTAGCCGATATCCAAACTGATATAATATAGATGGCAGCACATATGCCAATATCATTTTTATATCCCTAGCACAGTTTTTCTTTTTTTTACATAAATGTACTTGGATTTTCACCCCACGGAAAATAGATTCTTCTTCTGGTTCCTGATCCCCATGTTTTTTACACGATGAGCAGTCTCCATAAGGCAGCTCCTTGATTATTTTATGTACTGTTGCAGGGTGTCCTATTAGATATACTCTCTCATCCCCACCTACATTGGGCTTTAATGCCTCTACTACTATAATATTATCTGGAAAGTATGTGGCTGGATTCTCCATTATATTTAAATGTAATGATAGTTTATTGTCTGACTGATTTATCTTGATCTCATATGTCTGTATGTATAAAAATCAAAAGCTTTCATTCAGTCTAAATGCTTAAATGGCTCATATCTAAGTCGGTTCTTATACGAGTATACTCTAGCTGTATAGTCTGCATTTCATATGAAAGCCAATGCAGCATAGTGAAGATCTAAGTAGCATATTACCAGTGCTTTTAGCCTATACGAAATATGAGGTGTATTGAAAGTGTATTCTGTACAGTTTAAATTGACCTCTGGTATATAGCAGTAGCTAAGAGTACAGAGTACTTTGCCAAATAAATGTCTATCCACTGTAAATTGCTTTAATTTGGGCCTATTTAATTTGGTGGATTAGGCCAAATTTTGGCTGCTGTTTAATTTGGCGAATTGACCATCATCAATTGTAGTACTCACTTCGCAACTTGCCTTCCATAAGCAATTTCACCTCTCCTGGTATCAGATTGTTTTGACTCTGTAGAGCTTCCGAAAAAGATTAAAATTGAAATTTTATCCAGTTTTGTTAAGATTTTCACTTAGTATTATTGTGAAAGGAACACATGGAAAAGGCACAAGATGAAAATTGCAGAGAATTTTTTTTCAAAAATTGGTGCAGACTAAATTACAGTATCTGAGATACTGATCTTCCGAGATGATGCTGAACTAGATAAATGGCTACCATTTTTGGAAAAAACGTATATTAATAGGTTTTATTGGCAAACATATTTAATAGGTTTTATAGGGAAACAATATTTTATAATTTTAGTCTACAGGGGCACAATGGGTTAATTTTAAATATTGTAACAAGAAAGACTTTTAAGGGAGTTTGCAGTTTAGATTGCTGGAAACTTCACAGTCATTGAATTGAATAAAGTGACAATTCTCATGCTAAAAGTTCAATGTAGTTTTAATTATTTATTTCCTTGGAAATGTCATGTTGTACATATTTTCTTCAACACTCAATATAGGTTTGAGGTAATATGCAGTATATGGTTTATATTGTTTGAATCCAATCTTTTCATAAAGCTTCATTGCAGCAGTTTGAAGTACGCTCGTTGCAAGTGTCAATTCGTCATATTTGTGCTTTTCGCAATAATCTATAACAGTGTAAACCAGAATCTCACCAAGTCCATTGTGCCTATATTCTGGTGCTATATATACACGCACGAGTTCACCTCTTGTGTTAACATCAAGTTCCTTCAAACCAGCACTGCCAATCAGTTTCCCTTTGTGGAATAACAGCCATAAAGGATGGTTTGGTTGAATCCAATATTCTACAAATTTGTCATAATCTACCTGCTTAGACATCTCCAGAATGGGAATCTTCCAGACTAAGAAGAAATACAATGTAGGATATAACACCACCAGGAAAATGAAGGGGTTCCACAAGGAGCCTTTCATTTGGTATAACACCCCAGCTAATATGGCTAGTATACTGCTAAGTATTGGATGAAACATGAAGTCATTTATAACTTCTGTAATAAGCTCTTTGTACGAAGCAAAAGCCATATTTCTCACTTCTACCCAATTGTCCTTCTTTGGTTCAAACGGACGTATCTCAAGTTCATCATGTTTGACTTTAATGGGTTGCTTCCTGTTGAATAAGCCTATCATTATGCCTGTAATAATAATCAAATGGGATTCAGTTTCTCTAATGTTTCTTTGCAAGTAATTTTTCTTGAGTAGTGACTTTATCCAAAGTAGTTAACTTTGGATTGGTAGATTCCTTTGAAACATGAGTAGTGCAACTTAAAATTATTTGTCAACTATATTTTTCTTGTATATTGAGAGTTCACTGATTTTTGGATGTAAATACTGTAATGGTCTTAATGCAGAACATTTAGTGAGTGCAGTTATCTTTATCATGGGCATTCAATAGATTGAAAGCCCATGTCTTTATAAATGGTTTTCTTACCAGTATCGGTCTTCCACTTTACCACTTTGTTAATATGTGCAGTCTTTAAATCACACTTGTGTCACTAAATCACCCTTGTATGAGTAAACCAATTCACTGCTGTGTTAAATTCCACAGCCTGACAATCTTCAATTGTCTCCTCATATAAGATAACAGTAGATAACCTCAATCAGTAGATAACCTCAATCAGTTATCAAAATAACCTGAAAATGTTATTATGGGGGTTGTGTCACAAATCAAGTGATTATTTCAAAAAGTAGATGTTGGACTCCTATTGAATTCAGTGCCAATATGTACCTTGGACATTTGCTTTTTACTCTCAGTTAGGTCATTGGCCTCACATATTTCATACCAGTAACTCAAAATGAAAAAATTGCATTAATTGATTTATATGGATTGTAAATTGGGGATGTTGTGCCTGTTTTATACAGAATCTCTGAATGAAGTAAGACCATCTTATCTTTTTAGTTGTGCTTATTTTAGTCAAAAATACATAAATGATAAGTTGAGATCAGCATGAAATATGGATAAAGATGCCTTAGGGAAACAGGATTCTGCTCAGAGAATGAATATTACTGCAATAGTTTTTATTATTAAACAGTTCTCTTCTCATTCCTTAGGTTATTTAGAGACTGATTTAAAGTTTTGCTTTTATTCGAAAGAGCTATCCCAATGATAAAGGGTGTCACTAGAATTTCTCACAACAGGCTAATTAAATGAAAACAACAAGCAAAAGTAATGGAACATGGAAAAGTTGAAAAAGTCCCTAAAAACAACAAGTGATTTTGTGAAAACAACTGATGAAAATAGCCTGTTGCCTACTGCTAATGAAACCCCTGTGATAGATAATATACCACTCATATTTGTACATTTCATGTTCTACTTGAACTGATAAGTACTGGCTAAACAATAGGGACTTAAAGCTTGCAATGTTTTTCACAACCTAAATGTGAACAGAAAATATTTAAGCGATACATTTGTATGGGCGATATAGGTTAGCATTTCAATTTTATATGCAAGCTTAAACTCCTTATTATTTGAATCAGCTAAAACCTTCAACTAAAATCCTGTAGCTGTTTTTATAATATGGAATTTTATGAGGACAAGAATAAAAAGTAGTAGTCTTATAGTCTCCTCTCCACTTTTAATTGAGCTTATGAAATACTTGATACATGTAGAGTTGAAGTCAATAGGTTAGTACACATTTGAAGAGATGATGTTAGGGGGGACAGAGTTTGATGTTAACAAGCAAACCTTTACAATCTCTGCCACTTTTCAGTGTATCCATATTGTTGTGGAGGGCCAGTATTTATCCCTCCTAGCCGATAACCAAACTGATGTAAGATAGAGGGCAGACCATACTCCAGTAGCATTTTAACATCTCTTGCACAATTTTTCCCCTTAAGACAAAGATGTACTCGAACTCTAACACCACGGAATACAGCTTCCTCATCAGGTTCGCAGTCTCCATGTTTCTTACAAGAGGAGCAATCTCCTTGGGGGAACTCCCCAATAATTTTATGCACTGTTGCAGGGTGCCCCATTATATAAACTTTCTCCTTGGAAGTTGCACTGGACAGCATTGACTGAACTACAATAATGTTGTCTGGAAAGTAATCCATTTTAGATAGAGTTATACTAAACTCTCTAGTATATGCTTAGTTTATGTTGATATTTAATGTATATATATATATCAATATTCTTTACTTTTTGTACATAAATCCACTTCAAACTGGAATAGTCTTGTCACCGCTTAGATTAATACTGACCTATATGTATCGCCCTGCTTTTTATTTGATGTTAACCTACTTATAGGTTGTGTTTTACTGATAATACTGAGTAAACAATATTTTGAATAAAGGTTATATGCTAAACTATATCAATTGAAATCTTGTAGATGTTCTTATAGTTTAATGTTACCTTTTTCAGGCCTCCTAGACTTCCTCTCTGTCCTCAATCCGTCCACCCGAACCACATTCTCACAACACAGATATCAGTTCTTTAGTCGTGAACCACCAGTTCACAAAACTGTGTGGTTTTGCGATGTGGTAACTCGATTCGAGAATGTGGTTCGGGTGGAAGGAGGTTAGCAAGGTCAGAACTGACGGCCATCTGAGTGAAGTATAGGAGGCATGTTTTAGCTCCGTACTTCCAGAAAATTGGAAAATAATTTGAGAAATGTCATATCAACAAAATTTAACAAAATATTTTTGAACTATCACCCTTTGCATTCATTATCCCATCGAACGAAGTTCGGAGGGATATAGGGAACGCCTCCGTCCGTCCGTCCGGGCAATAACTCAAATACCGTTGGCCCGATTTTGTTCATATTTTGTACACATATACCCTATGGGGGTAGAAGTTCTGCTTGAAAGCCAATTTTCAAAATGGCCGCTCATTTCCAAATGGCGGCCATTTTAGTGCCGATTTTACAGTAATTTAGGTGCAATATGTAAAACTGTAATAGCAATATGTTTTAAAATGTAAAAAATTATAAAGGACATTAATAATGCTACAAATGTAGATATTAAAGAAGCCCATGGCAGCCATCTTGAAAAATGGCGGCCTTTACTCGTCATTTTACGATTTTTGCTGTAACTCAAAAAATAGTGGAGCGATTTTGTTCATATTTGGTATGTGAAAACTATAAGCATTGCACACTGTCTAAAGACACTTTTGGTAGAAGGCGGCCATTTTTCAAAATGGCCGCCATTTTAACGTATTTTACTATAACTCGAAAAGTAGTGGAGCGATTTTGTTCATATTTGGTATGTGAATACTATAAGCATGGCACACTGTCCTATGACATTTTTGTGAGAAGGCGGCCATTTTGAAAAAAAAATTGAAAAATGGCCCCCATTTTAACGTATTTTACTAGAACTCGAAAAGTTATTTACAAGTATGTGTGTGATTTTTCAAAAATTTTAGAGGTGGCTACTTAAAAGCATATTATTTCTTCTGATGACACCTTGGCAAGTGAGCAACCATTTTGAAAATGGTGGCCTTTCTGGTGTGTTGTTTTATGATATTTGCTATTCGTTTGTAAAAATGCCAGCTATCTCTGTTCGATGGGATTCGCTACGCTTTGGCGTTGCCGTTGTTCTGGTTCGACTTCACTCCTTAAAAGAGAGCTTCGTCTTCACTCTTTCAGTTTACAATAAATCTCTGATCTCACCGAGCCAATCAGAATTTGTCGAAATATGGATGACTTTCTATATGGTCATTTCCTATGGCATCTCCGCATAATTAATGAGCACGTATTTAGCATGCGTTCGTTCCACTTCGCTTAGTGGTTGAGGAAGGGTCAGCGTGGTAGATTTGGAATGATTTATTACCCGGGCTCTCACAGGCACCAATCTTTGAGGTAGGGCTGCTAAACTGTAATATAGTCTATACTGGGCAGAGGGTAGTTTATACTAGACTCTGCACGCAGGGTATTGAACTATATGTTATTCACAGTAGTGTGTAAATGCTAAACATCCACATAAAACATAAAACGTGGAAATAGTACTCATTACTTAAGTAATAAAGACCGAGATTCTATGATTTATGGCGCAATATATGACCGAAAATTTGATTCTGTTCATTGTTAAGACCGAAATCGCGTAGCAATTGAGGTCTTTGGCAATGGGCAGAATAAAATTTGAGGTCATATATTTGCCATAAATCATAGAATCGAGGTCTTTGTTACGATTCTAACATGATAAAACCTAAGTTTCTTCCGATTTGAATATTTTCAATCTGAAAAATTCTAATGTTTTGGACATTCTATTTACCGGATTTCCTCCTAGCTAAATAGTTTGCAAAATATCAATAATGAAACTGACGTCACATTACTATATCATATTTGACTCCATCCTATATTGTGACTAAATTGGTTCAGAGGGGGTGAGTATGCAATTGTGATAACCATTACATTTTTTGGTCTATATTGAAAGGATCCGTTACCTAATGTACCTGAAGGTGCCCCCAAAGGTTTCATTGAAGATAATATGAAAATAGTTACTTCTATCAATTATGAACACATCGAAAATGAAATTAGGTCATTTGGATTAAAACTAAGGTCATTCAGTGCATTTAAGTTTGACTATGCAAATCATTCTAAATATCATTTTAAGGGTATGTTAGTCTTCATTCATGATCATTTTAAGTATGTTGACCAATCCTTAATCGATATATCAGAACATCGTTAAGGTAGAACACAAAGAGCAACATATTGAAAACACATATCATAAAAAAACTAAAACTAATATATCTTTTGAAAAAATGAACCTTAATAAATATGTTCTCAACAATAGTACCATGATCACCTCAGTTGTTTAACAGTAGGCATTCAACCTAGAGGGTATATTAATATATCATTAAGGTGGGACACAGAGGGCAACATACTGAAACACACAAATTATTAAATAACCCCTAAAAATAATATATCATATGATAAAATGAACCTTGTTAAATGTGTTCTGAACAATAGTACCATGATCACCCTTATTGTGTATACTGTAGCTTTAACCTAGGTATTCAACCTAGATACTATGTCAAAACATCATTAAAGATAAAGTAGAACACAAAGAGCAACAGTTGAAAATACAAAACCTAAATCTAGTTGCGACTTTCCATTGCATTATTTTTTCATTGTCAAAGAAATTGAAACAATGATGACATAATAGTATTAGTTTATTTCATATGAACACTTAACAAGCAATATTCATTCGAACTAATGACTAGTTGAAATATTTTTTTTCGATTATCAGGCTCATTGCTTACATATCACATGTTCTAATAGTATACCCAATGAACAGATTTTTGAAAAACATATTTTAAGTTACCTGTGATTTAATTGCTGTATTGCAAATGACACGTTTTCGTTGATCTTGTTATCATTGAAAATTGAATACATATCTGTTTAGAGGTTTGAACATGGTGCTCAGAATTATCTATGGGAACCCGGGTTGGATGTCTCTGTGGCGTGATACATTGACACAATAGTTATTGTAAATGATAGAGTTTGTTGGAAGGTTCAGTCCAGAATATCTTTCCAAATAAGATTTTCTATTTTTATAGAAGGTTTTATGTTGCACCTACCTTAAGCAATACATTCAAGGCAGAATGGAATCTTGACTATATTGGCAATTTCAATATGGCCTCCCTTTTGAAACTAAAATATTTGCTATACTTTCATATTGTATATCTTCCACACTTAGGACCCTCTCTTATTTCATGTTCGAATTATAAAATAGTGTCAATACTAAACAATAAAGGTAAATTCAGAGGGGGTCTGGTTTGTGGAAGTACCTCAATCTGTCAATGAATGGAGAAGGTCATTCACTGTTAACAACAAAAACACAATAGGGTGTCTTTCAATACAATAGGATTACTAACTATTTATGCATGAATGGTACATGAAATGAAGCTTAGTAGATTAGGACACATTGTAATTCTTATATTGAAAAGTGAAATTAAGTCTATCTACAAAACTCAAGATTTTAATCAAGGTTCTGTGAAAATATGTCAAAATTACTCATTTGAAGAGTCAACATGACATGTGTTAAGAATCACTGTAAAAACACCTTCTTACCATTTTTTCCACACTATTTTTGTGATTTGTTGAAAATATACTTAATAAAGATTCAAATTGCATAAAAATAATTCTGGAATTCCACTTTACCCTTTTCAATAATTTTCTAAGTTCTTATAGGTACACTAATAGGTACGGATCCTTTACAGGTTATACATACTCCAATATAGACCAATAAATCAATTGTTCTCGTTATTGTGACATCACATATCATGTTAGAATACTACATATCTACATACCTTACTATGGCATTTTATGAGAGCATAGATAAAAAGTAGTAAAACTTTTTATAAAGTCTCCATTTCTGAGAACAGGAGTAATCTCCTAGGGGGAACTCCGCAATTATTTTATGCACTGTTGCAGGTTGACCTGTTATATATATATATCTTTATATTGACTCTTTAGATGTCATATCATGACATATTAGTCACTAAGGTAGAGCAGTTCTTCCCATTGTCAAGTTGAAGAACTGGTATCTTTATCCTGGCTAGAACCATAGACAATTCTAGCCAGCGCCAGCCTTTTATCGAGTTAGCAGCACTCTAGTAATGGCCAGTATAGGTCAGCATCATTGACTGAAGTACAATAATATTGTCTTGAAAGTATGTTGCTCAGGGTTCTCCATGTATTTATATATATACAATGTTATATGTTATGATAGTTTATATTGCCTTTGGTTTATCTTGATAGCATATATGATATGTCTACATTTGTGAATATAATAGTTTTCAGTTAATCTAATCCTACCTTCAAAAGGTTCTAAATCAATTTAAGGCCTATAACATGTAGCCTTTACAGAATCTGCATGCCTATAACTCAGCTGTATTTGAAGATCTAATATTACATTCCTGTACTTGCAGTCCCTGTGAATATGACCCAAGTTAATTCTGTATTGATCATCCATAGTACAAAAATCGTATTACTGACAGACCTAGGACTTTGGAATTAGTAATGATTAGATGATTGTACATTTACAATCAGCAGTAGAAGAGTACAATAACATTTTATGCTTATTGAAATGTTTTTAATCTCTGCCATGTTTGGATATATCCCATGGCACCGGGTACATTATTGATCCCAGCACCCAAACGATAACCAAACTGGTACATTATAGATGGGAGCACCTAGAAAATTAGCCATTTATATTCTCTTGGACAATGCTTTTCCACTTTGTGACAGAGCTCCACTCGGACTCTAACACCACGATAAATAGCTTCTTCCTTTGGTCGCTTTTCTCCATGTTTCTTGCAAGAGGAGCAATCTCCACGGGAAAACTCCTGGATTATTTTATGCACAGTGGCAGGGTGTCCTATTAGACAGACTTCATAACTGTGTATTAATGCCTCTACTGTGATAATATTGTCTGGAAAGTAATCCATTTGAATCTAATATTTCTGTTTATTTTATGTTGATATAGAATATATCTGTTTGATATTTTGTACTTACTGTTTTCTTTCTATTCCTTAGATTATTTATGGACCAATTTAATCTTTTATTTGAAATAGCAATTAATGTGAATCTAAACCTCTTCATATATCTGCACAGTATATGCCTATTTCACCTGTACTGATAAATACAAGCTTTCATTGAGCCTATGAAGTACTTAATACATGTAGAGTTTAAGTTAATAGGTTAGTATATATATATTTGAAGAGATGAGGGAGCAGGGTCAGTTTGATAAAGCCTATGAACTACTTAAAACATGTGATGTTGAAGTTGATTGGTCAGTTCAGTTTTGAAGGGGAGAAGGGACAGAGTTAAACGAACAAGTACACAAACCTTTACAATCTCTGCCATTTCTCAGTGTACCCATATTGGTATGGTGGAGGTCCAGTATTTATTCCCCCAAGACGATAACCAAACTGATGTAAAATAGAGGGCAGGCCATATTCCAGTAGCATTTTAGCATCCCTTGCACAGTTCCCTTTATGACAAAGATGTACACGAACTTTTACACCACGGAATACAGGTTCCTCGTCTGGTTGGCTGCCTCCTTTTTTCTGACAGGAGGAGCAATCTCCTTGGGGGAACTCCCTGATTATTTTATGTACTGTTGCAGGGTGTCCTGTTAAATAAACTTTTTCCTTGGCATTTCCATTTGCCATTATTGACTGAACTACTATAATGTTGTCTGGAAAGTAATCCATGATAAATGTACAAGGCTTGATTTATGTAATGCAGTCTTGTGTACTTTATTCTGTCTAGCTCAACACTTAGGTTTTCACTATGTTTCAGTTGAAAGAGGCAATGATTATTCAGCCATTTGGTATATATAAGTATGTGTATTATAAGTATGTGAAATAAAGTGTATTATTGATTGTATTACACTGTGCTTGCACTATAGCTAGTGAATGGATATACAAAAATGAACTCTGCTGAACTTGAATAGTACAGTAGAGTCAGTCTAGCCTAGTCTTTATCATACAGTTTAAATGATTAGTCTAAATGTAGAGTAGCCTGACTTGATTGCATAATAATCTAATAAATTATATAATAAGATTATATAAGTATAATGTGTGTGAGCAGCCCTTACAATTTGTTCCAAAGCTTGTTAATGTGATAATTGTAATATTGTATTGCAATATACAGATATAACAAAACCAGGTCTCACGTGGTCTGTAGCTATTTCAAGGGATTCACATTGATAACTTTGGCTCCTGATCACCTAGGTGCCATTGTACTTAACAGGAAATAGCAAAACAGAAAGTGACAAAATCATGCTGGATTTTGGGTATGAACTTTGGTCTATAATACATATATAATAAATGTATTATATACAATAACTGTACAGTATATATACTTAATTACATTTATTACTACAAAGCAGCATTCAGTTCTTGGGTAGTAGAACACAAGAAATGTATATTATATGGAGGTGCTTAATTGAGGGAAAATCAATGAAGGAGAGCTGAATAAACATTCAATTTAAAATATTTTAATAATAAGCCGCTAAACTAGCACACTTGAAAGTAACCTGACCTACATGTGCACAAGTAGGGAAACATGCCTCATTTGGGGAGTTTTTGACTTCCACTGTTGTAAATTGCAGAAAACAATCCTTAATACTATGATAATAAGTGTATGAAGTTTCTAAAATAAATATGAGAAATTTTTGAAATTAGATTTAAGGTACAGCTGGAACGTAACATTTTGGTAAAAAATTGCTATACCTGCACATGTTATTTTCTGATACAAAATAAAGTATGAAGGCATGTGTCAATTTCCTTGCTCTTTTCAGGAAAGTATCATTACATTGTCTTCTTTTAGAATATCTGGTAGGGGTTCAATGGAAACTCCAGGAAATTCTGATATTTCACACTTTCTATTTTTCCAAATTTTCTTTCAAAGTTTCCAGACAACACAGGAGCTACCATTGACCTGTTTCCAGATATTCTGAAAGTAAACAGTGTAATGATACTTTGCTGAAAAAATCAAGGAAATACACACATGACTTCATACTTAATTTTGTACCAGAAAATAACATGTGCAGGTACTATTTTTTTCATGGCCTGAGTTCGTCGCTAACATGCTAAATATAAGAGTTAGCTGACGTTTGGGAGTCTGACTTACCTTCTAAAGGTTAGAACCCGAATCTTAATGAAACCATATCACATTTGTTGCGTCGATGATGATGCATAAACACAGCATTTGATAGAAATTAGTGTAAATGCTTTTCCGACTTTTTCATTTTTCATCAATGTTGACTTTCAGGAAGGCGTTGTAGTTATCACGAAATAACGCATGGACCCTTGAACTTTACTTTGTTGACGTGTCAACCAAGCATGTCTGGTGTTAAAATTAAAAGAATATTAAGCAATGTTCTACATCCGCCAAGCTAAGTGAAGTAGCCAATATTTAAAATTACCAATGTCAAGTGAAGTACGCAACGAACGTAACTGCGTGATCTACACTCCCACTATTGGTCTGAACGAAATGCTACGTAGAAATATGAGCCGTCTGCTGTATTAGTCGATTAATAGAGTAAGACCTGTTGGTGATGCTTTATAATTTAGACCAAAACATTGAAGAACAAACGAACCTGTAAATCGTGAAAACAATGAACAAATATTCGGTTTTCACATATGTTCGGTAATTTTTCATATTGAAACTTCCGGAACTTACAAGGAAATCATTCATTTTCACGGTCCATGATTTACCTCTTGGATGTTGTGGCAAATGCTCCATGGTTGACGGAACAAAGGTGATATGGTTTCATTAAGATTTGGGTTCTAACCTTTAGAAGGTAAGTCAGACTCCCAAAAGTCAGCTAACTCTTATATTTAGCATGTTAGCGACGAACTCAGGCCATGAAAAAAATAGTATAGCAATTTTTTTACCAAAATGTTACTTTCCAGCTAAACCAGTTGATTCAGTTTTGAAGGGGAGAAGAAAGGGACAGAGTTAAACAAGCAAGTACATACAAACCTTTACATTCTCTGCCACTTCTCAGTGATTTCATATTGGTAAGGTGGAGGTCCAGTATTCATTCCCCCAAGACGATAACCAAACTGATGTAAAATAGAGGGCAGGCCATACTCCCGTAGCATTTTAACATCTCTTGCACAGTTTTTCCCTTTTTGGCAAAGATATACTTGAACTCGAACACCACGGAATACAGCTTCCTCATCAGGCTCACGGTCTCCATGTTTCTTACAAGAGGAGCAATCCCCTTTAGGGAACTCGGCAATTATTTTATGCACTGTTGCAGGGTGTCCTGTTATATAAACTTTCTCCTTGGAAGTATCATTCACTGTCTTAACTACTATGATATTGTCTGGAAAGTAATCCATGATAAATGTACAAGGCTTGATTTATGTAATGCAGTCTTGTGTACTTTGATTCTAGCTCAACACTAAGGTTTTCACTATGTTTCAGTTGAAAGAGGCAATGATTATTCAGCTATTTGGTATATACATGTATATACAATTGATTATACTGTGCTTGCACTATAGCTGGTGAATATATAGAAGTGAACTCTGCTGAACTTGAATAGTACAGTTACAATACCACTGAGTGTTGTATGCCAAATTAAGCGTCACATAATTCAAACCTATACAAATTCCCAATGTAGTATCCATATTATATATATCTAATTGTTATGACCGTAGGTTCTGGGCCAGTATAAAGATGGCAGCACCAAAAGAATCCAGTATTATCTTTTTCAATAAACACAGATCGATTACCATGCCATCTTTATTAAAAATTATTTCTATCGACCTTAGCCTTATAATGGTTATGACTCAAGGGACAAGACATATATAAACCATAACATTTATTCAATAAAGACATACATAGTTCTAATTAATTATTAACCCTGTACTGTACTGCCTTATGCTACGACTTGAACTATGAAAACAAGATATACACCAATTCACCTATTAACTTTCCCTGTGATGCATTATGTGTCTGTACTAACCCATTCTGATAATGCACTCAGGCTTTGCCTTCGTGCATTATGTAGATGGGTTAGTACATACACTTATGCTGAATTCTGAATTTTGAGTCAGTTCAGTAGATTGTAACCACCACAAAGGGGGTTGCAACAATATGGTATAAATTTAAATTCACATTCCTTGTGTTGTACCTTACAAACTTAAATCCTTAAGTAAGAGATAGTGTCAATATTTGTGGAATAACCAAGTTTATTTCATTAGGGGAGGGGCTAAATGATGGTTTCCATAGCCAATAGTGTGGATTTTTATCATATTTTAATATTCAAGTGGAAGACAATCTACGTAAATTTTCTTAGATTAGGGGAGGGGGTCAAACCATAACACAATTAACTCACTTTTTTCACAACTTTATATTTGGACAACATCCCTTAGGAAGAATCAATTAGCTAAGTTGTTTACATGACAATGTATGGCTCCATGCTATAGCACAGGAGAGCAATAATTTGATAAGTGCTCAGCTTTTTTTCAAGACATGTAAATCTCATGATATCACAATTTTGAATTTTTTTTACTTTATATTTATATATATAATTTTGACAGATTTTAATTAATTATACCCTCTACTAGATATAGTATTTTTAATGTGTTTTTATACTTAGTTACATAATTAACAGTATATTAGATAAAAACATACAAAAATTATAAAGTTGTAGCAATAATAAAAGCCAGCTTTCAAGCTTTCCATTGTAAAGTCATATTTTGGCCCTTGGGTATACAACTACCTTATTTTAACACATTTTGCATTTCTTTGTATTTCCAGTCAATGCTGAGTTAGATAAGAAGCTGCAAGAACTGGAGTCTAACCCCCTTCCAAATACTCAAGAGAGAGAATTACTCCTTAACAATAACAGGGAAATAAAACAACTTAAACGAAGTAAGTTTTATGAATTAAATAAGTTTTACAAGATTGCTGCTTAAAATGAACTTATCAATACTTCTATAATATCTCTTCATAGGGAGGTATTTTGATGTATGAACAGAATTGCCATCTATCTTTCCATAGTTTAGGTTCCTGTGGTTCATTCCTTATTAATGGAGAGGTTAAGCTTTGCATATATAATCGAAACTGAACCTGTACGTATCACTCGACCATATACAAATTCATGTAGCCTTCTCATATAAATAGCCGTTCAAATCCAGTGTTTGTTTAGACTACACCATAGCGTGTAATGATTCTATAGTATGTCATTGATGCGGTTTTATAGCTGGTTTTCTAATACATATTTTAAACGAGCTCGTTTCGTAAGATTTTTGGCGCTAAATCATGCATGACATACATCATCGTGTTCAGCAAGAATTCAACTGTGCATCGAAATCAAAATTGACAGCATAGTCTTCAATAGACACGAGTAAAATGGTTCCCGTTGACCCAACGTCAAATATTCAAATCTCCCGTTCTAAACCCGAAACTCTGAAGCTGAAAGAGTATCTAAAGTAGACTAAGCGCGCATAAAACTATGAGCGCTCGATACATTCCTTTGTTAATTTTTGTACTTTGCGTTTACGGTTACGTTGTGAAAAACATCGTTAGCTTAACCTCTCCACTAACAGGTTTGATGAACATAAAAATAACATTGACTTTGTACAGTACATTATGGTTTTATGACATATTTACCCGACTTTTAATTGACATATGGGTTATGGTTATGGTATGGTTATGGTATCAACTCCCTGGCATAACTAGAAACATGTGAATAATCAAATGAAATTTATTTTCAGAGCTGACAGCCACTGATGAGCAACATGCAAAACAAAAAAGGTATGTTCAGTAAAACCTGTCTAATCTTAATGCCATTGGGGGCTAAAAAGCATTCTGATTAGGGGTTGTTCGGATTTCGAGGTTTTTGCATCTGGAAGATTTTGGATTATGAAGAAATACAATTGCTTTCTCAATGAATATTAAGATTTCTATTGACCACATAGCTTTATGGCATTCCAAAATCTGATTCAAATGAATTTGGCCATGCTAGAAAGACCCATTATGATTGATAATGTCAATGTTGTGTTTTCAAAAGTTTTGATATAATAACCAATCAGTTTTAACTTGAAAATATTTGAGCAATTTTGTAACAAATATGTGATATTTTGTTAAAAGTGTTCTGATTAGACAGGTTTATCTTTCAAATATGAGTGTTCATAGTGATTAAAACAGCATTAAAACAAGAGGGGGCAGCACCCACCTGAGATTTTGAAAATAGGCTTGCACCCACCTGAAAATCCAATCACTGGTTCATCGAATTTTGAAGGTGTTCAGATTTCAAGTTTTTTTTACATGAGAGTTAGTGGGAGGAAAAAATGGCGCTGGAAAATAGTGTTCAGATTGGAGGTGTTCAGATTAGCTAGGTGTTTGGATATTCAGGTTTTACTGCACACATATGTGCATACTGAATATTTTTGAAGAAGAACACTTTTTATTATGTCAACACCAATGTAGTGGTGACATATTGTTATGGTCTCCAACTTTTTTGTGATGGCAGTTTGCATCCTGAGGTCAGTGTGTGTAACAAATTCTTACAAATTCCAATAACTTAACAAACACTGATTAGACTGACTTCAATTTTTCCAAAAATGGTCAAAAAGGGTTTTAGTCACCACCAAAAAGTGGTGACATATTGTTATGGTCTCCATTTTTTTGACGGCGGTTGGTGATTGGCGATCGGCATCTGTAACAAATTCTTACAACTTCCAATAACTTAACAAATACTGTTAGACTGACTTCAATTTTTTTCAAAATCATCTACATATTTTCAGAGGTTCAAATCTGACTTTATATTCAAGATTTGACCTTCAATGACCTTTTCAAGGTCAAAAAAGGTCAAAAAGTCTTTTTTCAACTTGCTTCAAATTGACCAATTTCTTTTCAAAATCATTTACAAGTTATCAGAAGTTCAAATCTGACTTTAGATTCAAGATTTGACCTTCAATGATCCTCTCAAGGTCAAAAAAGGTATTTTTTCAAATTGACCAATTTTTTTTCAAAATCATCTACAAGTTCTCAACAGTTCAAATCTGACCATAGATTTGTCAAATTCAATGACATCTCAAGGTCAAAAAAGATTTGACCTTCAATGACATTCTCAAGGTCAAAAAGGTCGTTCTTCGTCTTGCTTCAAATTGACCAATTTTTTTTTCAAAATCATCTACAAGTTCTCAGAAATTCAAATCTGACTTAGGTGGTGACTGACATTTTGTCATCTTAATGCCTTGTTTTTTAATTTGCTTCAAATTGACTTATTTTTCAAGATCAGCTACAAAATCTCAGAAGTTCAAAGCTGACTTAAAATTTGAACTCATGATATTGTGAGCAACTAGGTGGTGACATCTTGTCGTGTCAATTTCTTATACTTATATTTTGTCTTTGTAATTGAAACATCATACCATACTTATGAAAATATTCTTGAGGGGGTGTGAAGAGCTTGTTTAGCTTGTCCCGAGATAGTTAAAGCCTTTGATAGGTTGATATTATTAAGTTAGGCGACTCGGAGGCCATACACAAAATTGATTGTGAAACCTGTACATACAGGAAGGGGGGGGGGGGGGCAATGTGGGCTATATGTATAAGAATGACACACAATGACCAATGGGGATGTCCACCTCTGATGTCACTTTTTCAAGAAATAATAACTCCAAAAAACTAAAATATTGTATTCTCATGTAGCGAAATTGACACACTTAAGAAGAGAAGGGAAATTCTGGCTGATGAGACTGAAAGGCTTAGGATAAAAGTGGAGAAGCTTAACAAAGCTAAACATGACAGTGCACATGTGTCTCACCTTAAAGAAATGGTGGATACTTATCAAAGGTGAGGCCAGTTGTTATTTTTATTTTTATGCAACGTTTATCTCATGTATAAAGTTAGCATTCAAACAATATAATATCAAGCTTAAACTAGGAACACAGAACATTGTTGGAAATGGAGTAATTAAGTCATTAATGTATTTAATCAAATAATTAGAGCAATCAATATCAATCTGAGAAATTATATCAATCTGAAACTCCCCTGTTTTGAGAGTTTCAGACCATCCTGAAGAGATAATACTTGGGAACTTTTCCGAGTAAAACTAACGCTTGTTGCCTGTAGGTTCAATGGTAACATGATATCTACTGCAGGTCTTTTCATTTATCCATTCATACCTGGATTCATTTCTTGAATTTAATCATTGCTCTTAGTTTTGTCAGCTGGTTCTACATTTTGTTCTTTGGTATTTTTCAAAATTTTTTTAAATGATTCACACTCTGTCAATATTACTCAAATCTCTAAAAAGAAAAGAATCAGAAAATTTCATGTTAGTTTGTGGCAAATCAGCCATCTTTTTAGTTTTCCATCGACTTAAATTACTTTTGTCATTCTTTTTTTATAGTATAATTGGTAATATACTAATAAAGCATTACTCTGATTAAATGTCAGCTATAACACCTGCGTGAAATCAAACAAGACATTTTAGTCATTACTTTGTCATTAAAATACCCCAGAAAACATCACATTAGTGCTATACTATGAAGTTTAATAGACAATAACTGTCATATTGATATGGCCAGATGTCAACAGAGCACTTAGTTGTAATAAGATCCTATTTAAAAAACCTTGACTTGACTCGACCTTCTGAACTTGGCACATAAACAGCCCACATACATGTAGAGGGTGGTAAAAATCTTCGGAAACCCTGCCATTATTTTCCTCATATTTTAGTCATTTTAGGTAATTACTTCCTGATATTTGGCACATTGTACATCATTACCCCATCAAACGAAGTTCGGAGGGACATGGGAAACGCCGTTTGTCCGTCTGGGCAATGACTCAAATACCGTTGGCCCGATCTTGTTCATATTTGTATACATATACCCTATGGGAGTAGAAGTTCTGCTCGAAAGGTGATTTTCAAAATGGCCACTCATTTAAAAATGGTGGCCATTTTAGTGCCGATTTTACAGTAATTTAGGTGCAATATGTTAAACTGTAATAGCAATATGTTTTAGATGTAAAAGATTATATAGGACATTGATAAAGCTAGAAATGTATATATTAAAGAAGCACATGGCAGCCATCTTGAAAAATGGCGGCCTTTACTCATTATTTTACAATTTTTTGGCGTTGCTGTTGTCTAGTTCAATTTCCTATGAGACTAGTGTATTTCATGACCACTGGCCTGATAGTCCCAATGTACCAGCACTTCAAACAAAATGCTCCAGTGGCCACTTTTGTGCTGTAGGTAAACCTGCATATGTCATCTAAAATGTGCCTACATGACTTCTAGGCCAAAGATAAAGTTAAGAGATTAGTCTACAGGGTTCTCACCAGGAAATTTTTAGACCCTGGATTTTTCACGGTCTTGCGACGACTCCTCCCCTTTGTGAAATCAGACATATCCTATTAAAAACTTTTTCAAAATACTACTAATATTATCTACCTGTTTTAATCACAATATACATTTCTAAAAGGTTTCTGAATCTCCTATCCCTTGTTTGTATCCAGTTTTATGTATTTTCTCAAGAGTTTAACCAAAAATTAAAGTGACAAAAATGTAAAATTAGACTCCAGAAAAAACACTTTAGACTCTGGAGCAAGAGGGTCTAGAGACATCAGACTCCGAAGAATCTCCGGAGTCTAAAAGCTTAGTGAGAACCCTGGTCTAGATCATCCGTGTCATCCAGTCCATACCTGCTGAGGAATGCAGTCTGGACATTGACAACTTGTGCAGTTTTAAACTGGTGTCAGTTTTTAGTGTTTGTAACAATTGCTACACTTTTTCATTTGTGACCACCTTGTTACATTTAGTCATGTTATTGTCTTATTTCATATTTTCTTCTTTTTCAGCATTGTTGAATGGGAACTTTTAGAATCAACCAGCTACTTCATGAAACTAGGCCTTCTTCACAGATCCATACATGTAGAGTTGACACTGGGGAAATGTTTAATGAATAAATCCAGGGAGATACTAGATTTGAAGATCACATCCAAATTGAATGGTAAGAATTGGATCTTCTCAATTATTTATTTTTTATTTAAAAAACATTTATTCCCTAATTTTAAAATTACATGCATGCTAACACTTGACACTTTGATAATTGATTGACAATGATTTCGGACATGTTTATTTTGTGTTTAGTTGGATGACTTAATGAATTTGATTTGCATCTGTCTACATGTAAAAGGCTATATTTCTCATTTTTTGAGTCTACATATACTTTATTACGAATGCATCTGACATGAAAATGAAAAAAGAACATGTTCTTTGTGGCGCATCCTCCGAACGCAGGGTTCCAGACATCATCCACTACGTTCCTTCCTCCTTTTTGGAAGAAGGAGGTACGAGTTCTGGAGGCCTGTGTTCGGAGGATGTTTGTGGCGAAGAATGACTACTTTTTTATGCATAACACTAAATAACACTAGGTGCGAATGATCCTAAAAGCATTGTGTCTTCAAAATGTTCACCATATCTAATGAATTATATTCTTGTGTTTACTTTATTTAGAATTTAGTTCAGCCAACTATGCTAAACTAGTGAACAGACTGGTACTGAGGGACCTTAGCACCATTGACATATCTCAGTTATACAACCATACAGGAAATCTACCTCAGGTAATATACAATATAATGTACCCAATAATGGGGTACAAAATATTCTAAAAGAAATAATTTTTCAAATATAGTTTACTATGTTAGGTATAATCTGAAATATAAATTATAATTCTTGTGGCATTGTTTCTCAAAATTCAAAATCAAAATCTTGATATGATAAGCCTGAGTTAATTGCAATAGATCCGTGATTTTAGGTCATTCTTATTGATCCTTGTAGAGAGTCAATGAAGATACAATGTTAACATTGTCAAGTTTCTTACCACATTGAAGAGAGATTTCTGGGGCTCCAATCTACATACACAATATATATACAATATATATTCGTCTTATGCAACAAACAAAACCCATCAGAGAGACTTTTGTCGAAATGTGTCAAAATCAGCAGTAAAACTAAATAAAAATTAACTAAAACTTCACCCAACCAAAGAGTAGTGTCACCTTGAGTAGTCCTCAATATTGCATGATTAGCAGATAATCATCAGTTTATTTTGAAAAAAATTGCAATTACCATTCATGGGAACGGCGATATTTGGCAAAATTGCCACTGTACATTAAACAATGGGATTCTCTCTGGAGTCTTAAACTTGTGTTTTGGTTTATAGCTATTACAACATATGTCTAGAATAGTATGCAGACATAGACAGTTGGGGGACCAGCTGAGAGCAGTAGAAATTTCACATAGTGTACACCTTCAGGATTATAGGTAAGTTAAAGTATGATTTGTTGATTTATTAATTTAAGGTCATACTGTAGTGTGTAATACAGGGATTTGATTAATTTAAAGATAAAGAGGATATCCTAATGCCACTATATTGGACACCATACAAAAAACAGTTTTCTTCAATTCACAACCTTTATGTAGAGGACAGCTGGGTAAGAAGGGCCTTGGGGCAAGACGGACCACCAAGTTTATTTTATTGTTTTAAAGTTTATATCACCTGATATTATTCTGACATGGTATCATCATGGCACCGACCTCGCTTGCCATTCATTTTATTTCATTTAGGTGCCAGATTCCATCAGCGTCACTTTCCCCAAAAAGTGGCCCTTTTTGCCCCACTTCTGTAGGACTTTGGTAAAACCTACAATTCAGTAAACCAACTTGTTTATATTTCAGCGTGTGTGTGTACTTCTCGAGTGTATCCTCACATTGTAAGTTCTATATCAAATTTGATGTAACTCAAGGGTGTAGTTGGACATTCAACAACTCCATAGGAAATACAAGGTACATATACAAGTATATAATATAAGTTTAATGATTATATCTATTTCTCATCGAGGGTCTCGTGGGAGATGAAGATATTTCATGGGGAAAACTCTATCATTCATTAACACTATCTGGTTACGACAATTTAGCCATAAAGTCTTATTTCACTGAATATGTACTAATGTAACTATTTATTGTTATTGTGTTTTATTTCAGTTTATAATAAAATCATATACATCAAATAAGATGGAAGACCCCCTAATGGGAGTATTATCCATATTACAACGTAAAATAATGAAAAAAAATTACAAAATGTCTACACACCACTGAACCCCATCGCCACCTCAGTCTCCCTCCCCTCCACAACCACATGTACGATGCCTTTAGAAAAAGAATAGTTGATCGAGTGCCAGAAATGTGTCTCAGGATAAACTGAATAGTATGGGTCAGTTTAAGGTCATGTTTATTGATATATGTTAATTTTGTGGTCATCTTCAACACTGAATGTTTAGTTATGCATTTAATCATAACTTTTGCTTTGATATGATAATGTTGAAGGAAAGATGCACTATTGAATTTACTGATTTGTTATTGTTATTTCCTTGTTCTTCCATTTAGACCAATGGTTTATGATTTATTAAATATTGCTTCAGTTTTGTCTTAAAGTGTGATACAGAATTGATTCGAAGTAAATCTCCAGGTACATCATTCCATATATCAGTGCCTTGTTTACATATCGAGAATTTTCCAATATCAGTTCTATACTTTGCTGGTCGAAGTTTATATTCTTGTCTTGTGGAATGATCATGAATTTCATTACTAGGAGTGAAATAATATTTGAATTGCCTCTTACAGGGTTTGTTTACACCTTTAGTGCATTTAAAAACATAAACTGCAATATTCATGTACACTATTTGAAATACATTCAGGATATTGGCTCTTTTGAAATGTGGGAGTGTGTGATCTCTAGGTTGGCAGTTTATATCAAAAATTCGAATAAATTGTTTCTGTAGTCTGTGTAACTTGGTCAAATAAGATGGAGGGACAGTCCCCCAAATTATGCAGTTATAGTTCAAGTATGAATAAATAAGTGAATAATATATTGTTTTCAAAGCTTTACCATCTAAATTGAATTTTACCTTATGAAGTACACCTAATGTTTTTGAAATTTTTGTTTCAATGTGTTTAATATGAGGTTTCCACGATAATGTTTCATCGATAAGTACGCCAAGAAAGTTTCCAACTATAGTTCTATCTAAAAGTGAGTTATTCATGTAGATTTTTATTTTTTCATGTTCAATTACTTTTTTTGGAGACCTGAATAAGATATAATTTGTTTTTGTTGGATTTAATGCGAGTTTGTTGCACTTAAACCATTCATTAATTACAGAAAGTTCCTCATTTACTGTGGTATTGAGGTCATCAAGATTGTTACCAGAAAATAGTATATTTGTATCGTCTGCATATAGAAACATTTCTGCAGCCTCTGAAGATCTGTAAAGGTCATTTATATAAATAATAAACAAAAGAGGCCCTAGAATTGTTCCTTGTGGAACACCACATGATAATTCAACAATATCAGATGTTTCCCCTTCAAATTGTACCACCTGGGATCTTTTTGAAAGATAACTTTGAAACCAATCGGAGGCAGTTCCCCGAATACCATAATAATTTAATTTTTGCATCAATATATTGTGATTTAATGAATCAAAAGCTTTAGACAGGTCACACATTAATCCTATGGAATATTTGTGATCTTCTAAGGCAAGGCGTACTGATTCAACAAATTTTAAAACAGCCATGAATGTTGAGTGATCTTTCTTAAAACCATACTGATGTTCGTATAAGATGTTTTGTTTCTCTAAGAAATCAAGCAACCTGTGAGACATACATTTTTCATAAATTTTAGAGAATACAGACAGAAGAGATACAGGTCGGTAATGTGTAAATATGTCATTGCGATCTTTTTTATGAATAGGAATGACTTTTGCAAATTTTAAATCATCTGGAAATATACCCTGCATAAATGACAGATTGATAATATAAGCAAGTGGTGAGTTTATCAGATGACTGTTTAATTTAATTACTTTTGGCTTGATATTATCTGAGCCGGCAGCAGAATCTGTCAATGAAGAAATTATTTTTAAGATTTCTTCATTATTTACAGGTTGAAGGAAGATAGAACTAGCTACTTCTGGCATTTTACTTAAAAACTCCCGGGGAGTACTGTTTGAGGGCCCTATACTTGCTGCAGTATCTTTACCAACATTAGAGAAAAATGAATTGAATCCATTAGCAATTTCCTTATTACCTTTAAAAGCTTTGCCATTTGTATAGAATGTAGAAGGCAATGGTAATGTATTAAAAATCGTAAAAAGTTATTGTTTCTTGTCGTACCTCCTTTCTGTTATGATAATAATCATTATCTCTGTGTTTCCAGTCAGTGTGATATAGATTCTACATTGAACAAGATCAAGAAAGGACCAGATTATTTGCAGAGACTGGTAAATAGCATTGACAACATGCTGCTATGAGGATAAATATGGGAAACATGGAACCCTGAAAATTAATAATATTATTAATGGACAATTTTAATATCTAGTGATACTTTTTTTGTATATATGAATATTTTATTTAAATATATATTTTCTATTATATGTATACAGTGGACATTTCTATTTTATCTCAAATGGTGAGCTATTGTAACATCTAGTAATATCTAGAGATATCTGGACAGGTATTACACAGAAAGAAAAATGATCATGCAGCAAAATATATCACTGTTAAACTGTGTAATATCCAGGAACTATTTGCTATTTCAAAGATAGTCTGTTCTTGTACACATTTTTGCAGATTTTTATCTCAAGTCTGTCATTGAACCTTTTTTTTATTTTATTTTTTTATTTATTTTACTATCATATTCATTTAGTATTACATTAACAGGGTTGGCACTTGATACCCATAAAAGGGCATATCAGTGCTAAAATCAAAAGTTGTACAATATAAAAATAAATTACAATTTATATGAATTGAATAAAGCAAGAAATACAATTATAGATATCATGCCAGTTCATGTTATAAATTCGAACATGACTGTATTCACGCCTTCTATAAACTGTAAACAAAGTCAATGCTTCAGCTGGGTTATATTCGAGATCAATAACCCAGTTAATACGTGTAATGTGTGACGTCATAACGGTGGATCGTAGAAATGGCGGATCATGATGAATATTCGAAACAATTTGGTGAGTTTTCATGTTCGAATCGTAATATAGACTTCAGAGCAGGGTTACTAGTTTCGAATAACACCCCGCTGGTCTCGGCACAAAAGCTTTCGAACCCCTCACTCCCTTCGGTCGTTCAGGGTACAGAAAACGTTTGTGCCGAGACCAGCGGGGTGTTATTCGAAACTAGAAACCCTGCTCTTTGGTCTATATTTCTTAAATACGACAATATACAAAAATGCCTGCACATAAACAATTCAAAAGTGAAAAATACAAACATAATACAATTGTGGAAGAATAACAATACATGCTCATGGCTCAGTAACTATTTATTAATATTTTTTTGTAATTGTATTTAAAGGAGTAAAATGATGGTAGAGATTGAAGGGATGTTGGTAGTTTGTTCCATATTATTGTTCCAGAGTATTGAACTGATTTTTTTGTTAAGTTTGATTTAAATTTGCATGGGATAATGTGATGGATTTGTCTCGTGGTACGAGTGTGTCTGAAATTGAAATACTGTTTAAATAAATGGGAAGGAAAATGTGCTGGTTCTTTAACTATATTAAACATGAATTTTGCTTTTTCTAATTTATGAATATCAAAGATAGTTAATATATGTAATTGCTTGAATAGTGGTAAACTTGGGTGAAGTAAATCTAAATTTAAAGATAATTTGACAAATTTTTTTTGAATTGCATAAACCTTGTCTAATAAAAATTTGTTGGCATTTCCCCATATGATGTTACAATATGAAATGTGAGAATATATAAGTGAGTAATATATATCTAGCAAAGCTGTTAAATTTAATTTGTAGCGTATTTTGTAAAGTATACCTAGTGTTTTGGATATTTTCGAAATAATATAAGATATATGTTCGTTCCAATTTAATTTATTGTCAATCATTACTCCAAGAAAGTTTGTTTTTTCAACTCGTTCAATAGTATTTCTATCAATAATTAACTGATATTTGGAATCATTGAGTTTAGGTTTTGATTTAGTAAAGATCATATAATTAGTTTTATCTATGTTGAGTGAAAGTTTATTGTTCTTGAACCAATTAGAAATTTTAATCATTTCATTATTTGCAATTTTGAATAGGTTTTCTAGGTTATCATCTTCGAGGCATATATTAGTATCATCAGCAAAAATAACTAATTTGAAAATATCTGATACCTTAAAAAGATCGTTTATATATAGCGTAAATAGTACTGGCCCCAAGACAGAGCCTTGAGGGACACCAAAAGTTAAAGTTTCATTTTTATCTGAATATGTATCCTCAATAAAAGTTTTTAAAGGACGGTTTTTTAAATAACTTCTAAACCAATCATTAGCAACACCGCGAAAACCTAGCATTTCTAGTTTATTTAGTAAAATTGTATGGTCAATGGTATCAAATGCCTTGGAAAGGTCTAAATATAAACCTAAAACATGTTTTTTATTATCTAAAGCAAACGAATTTGTTCAGAAAAAGTAAGAATGGCCATATATGTTGAATGTTTTTCTTTAAAACCAAATTGCCTTTCATGCATTAGATTATTAGTTTTAAGAAATGTAGAAAAACGTTTATGCATTACTTTTTCAAGAAGTTTAGAAAAAACACTCAGTAAAGAAATAGGTCTATAGTTCTTAAAAAGTGATCTTTCTCCTTTTTTGAAAAGTGCAATTAATTTTGTAATCTTTAGTTTATCTGGAAAAATACCAGATTGCAGTGAAAGGTTAACAATATGTGTAAAAGGAGTAGCTATATTGAATCTAGCATGTTTAATTACCATGGGCTTTATATTGTCAAAACCAGGTGCTTTATCACCAAGTCCCTGCATTAATGTTAAAATTTCATCTTCATTTTCACAGTAATAATGTTGATGTTCGTTGTGTAACAATTAACCAGCATCTCGCTTTTATGTTATTAAAAACAAAATGTGAATTGAAATTTATATTGAAAAACAAAGTAATAATCCTATTGATATAATAGTCTAGCGTTTTATTACATTTTCCCAGGTTGGGGGAAAATCCCTTATTAGTGCAAGGTGCTTATAAATGTACAGGGTGTGTCATAAAAGTGGGACACTTTGTATCATTCTTAAAAGTATTAAGGATCACAGTATTTAAACCATATACCAAGAGATGGGGAAAAGGATGTCCAATATGTGGGCCTCCATTTATGATAATAGGACAGGTCTCAATCTCAGAAAAGTCATACCTGTACAATACGTATGTCTTCCTCAAACTTTTGCATTCATTCACGAATCATTCTATCATCATTTGGTTTTGAAATACCAAGGGTAAACAACCTTAATGGGAACTTGCATTGTTTGTTTTGAAAGGAGTGGTATCGATATGGAGAACTTTTTGAACAGACGTTTCTCTTAAACCAGTCATCAAAAATTCTAAAAATTACATCGTCAATTTAATGGTCATCTTTTGAATGGTAACAATATAATTTGAAAAATATATAGATACTTTCATCTACAGTATATTGTTTTAGAAAACACATCAAACACTTGTTTGTTCTTGGTATCATGTTTCCAGAGTGAAATGAAACATCTTTCCGAACCTCATTGGAACAAAACAATATAAACACAACATGTTTAGGTCTCTCAATATTGTAATTGTACAAAGGAAATTTTGGTTGATTTTAAAAAAGTATATTGTTAATGAAATAAAAGGTTAAACTTGATTTTTATCTATTTAGGGGGATTCTATTTTAATTTTTTGAATACTTTTTTTTAAAATCAACCAAAAATCCTTTTGTATAACTATAATATTTAGAGGTCTAAAAACATGTTGTATATGCTATTTTGTTCCAACAAGGTTCGGAAAGACATTTTATTTCATTCTCAAGAATTGGTAGAAAGGAGCAAAAGCAATTGCACTAAAAAAACAAAAAATGTTAACAAAAACAGTTATAAAATACATAAAATACCGTGTTTTTTACAGAATGTTTTCAATGATTTGTTTAAGAGAAAAACATTGTTGAATTCAGTTGTCCATATCATACCACTCCTTTTACATTGTACACATGTACAGTAAAACCTGTCTAATCCAAACACCAAAATTTCGAGCATATTGTTGGTCGGGGGGGGGGATTTTCATTGTCCAGTCCTCTATATTGAACAGAAAAAGTCAGAAAACAATACATGTTGTTGATGAGTTATTCTACAATAGGGTTATAGCCTATATATGCTATGTTTGATTTACATTTTGAAAAATTTCATTATTTTACTAAAAATAACTCTTATATTTTGGCAAAAACTTTGTAATACACTGTATTAGTATATGATAGTCTTGTACGAAATCTTATGCTTATCAAATGACTTATCCCATATTATGGTGATATAGCACTGCTTTACTTTTGCTTGAAAAGTCCCTCATTGCTGTTTGTTTCTTGGCAGTTTTAGCATAAGCAATATTTGAGTAGATATCCTCTACAAGTAAAAAGAATTTTTCATGAGTGTTCATTCAAGATGATGTATAATCCTTCAAAATATCACGGGCATTCAGGTTTGTCATATGTATGCCTTTTAGGAGGCATTTTAGTGATAGGATATTACGAAGTTGAATTTCTCTCTTTCTCGTGTTATAATCTTGTCTGCAAATCTGTGTCTGTGTTGTCTTTGTGATTATAAAACATTTACTGATTGAATCTTAGCTATGGATAACAGACCCATGGGATATAAATCAGTTAAGACCTGTTCATAAACCAAATCGAAAACATCCAGTAAATTTACAATAAGGATAAACCAATTATCTCCCAGATTATCACCTTTCTCTTAATCCAAATAAAAAACATCGAGGTAATTTCTAATAATGATAAATCCATTTTCTTCTTGATTCACACCTTTCTCTTAATCCAAACATAAAACAATTCAGTTCTTTTAGGATAAACCAATTAACTGCTGTATTCCAGTATTCACACCTTTCCCAAACATCCTGTTGTTTTCCACAAATTAGGGATAATATTAAGGTTAATTAGGACAATATTGGTTCTTTGATTGCATTGTATATGTAAAGATAAATAACAACTATAACCTTGACTCAATGCGTGGCTATATTAAAATCTTTAATAACTCAAATGCCAATTGACGGATTGGGTTAAAATTTTATCCGTTAATGCCAAGGGACAAAGGACCTCCGTTAAAGAAGACGTTTTCAAGATGGCCACTGGATTTCGAAAAGTCCGCCATTTTTCATAAAAATGTTATCTGATAAATCAAATTCCAGGGGATGAATTTGATTCAAAGACTATATGCTGATGCTTAGAGAAATTTTCAAGATGCCGGCTATTTATCTAAATGGTCACCATTTGACGTTAAAAGTGTGATCTTTGATAACTCAAATACCAGTTAACGGATTTGATTCAAACATATGCTGGTACCAGGGACAAAGGAGATCTGCTCAAGAAGAACTTTTCATGATGGCAACCGAATTTCAAAC